CGCGTCTGGTTGGCAGTTTTACCACGCCATCTCGCGCCGTGTCCTGCCCTCTCAGGACGTCACTTTTGACGAGTCGGTGCCCTACTACCGCCTCTTCCCCTACCGCACTGCCCCGCTCCCCCCGCCGCCTCTCTTCCTCGCGCCAGGTGCTGCTGTGGTAGACCCCCTCCCCCCTCAGGGTGCTGCTCCCTCAGGTGTGTCCCAGGTAGACCCGGTTGAGTCTGTCGAGGTAGCTGTCGACTCTCGTCCTGCTCGGGGTGCTGAGCCTGAGCGTGCGGAGCCTGGGGGTGCGGAGTCTGGGGGTGCGGAGCCGGCGGGTGCTGAGTCTGGGGGTGCTGAGTCTGGGGGTGCTGAGCCTGAGGGTGCTGCGACTGAGAGTGCTACACCTGGAGGCGCTCTTTCCTCACAGCAGCTGCGTGAGTGGTACTTACAGTACTGCAGCCTCAGGAGAGCTGCTGCTGGAGCTCGTGCTTGTGCTTCCCCTCCTAGGCGGGAGCTGCCCTCTCCCCAGCGGCTCCGAGAGTTGTACGCTCGTCGCTGCAGTCTCCGGAGTGGCGCTCCTAGTGTCACGGACCCTGCAGCTGGAGGTGCTGCTGGTGCTGGAGCTGCTGGAGGTGCTACTGCTGCTGGCGGTGCTGCTGGCGCTGCTGGAGGTGCTGCTGGTGCTGCTGGAGCTGCTGGAGGTGCTGCTGGTACTGGTGCTGCTGGTACTGGTGCTGCTGGAGCTGCTGGAGGTGCTACTGGAGTTGCTGCTGGTACTGGTGCTACTGGTGCTGGTCCTGCTGGAGCTGCTGGAGGTGCTGCTAGTCCTGGAGCTACTGGAGGCACTGCTGCTGCTGGCGGTGCTGCTGGTGCTGTTGGAGCTGCTGGAGGTGCTGCTGGAGTTGCTGGAGGTGCTGCTGCTGCTTGCGGTGCTGCTGGCACTACTGGAGGTGCTGCTGGTGCTGGTTCTGCTGGAGCTGCTGGAGGTGCTGCTGGTGCTGGTACTGCTGGTGCTGGTGCTGCTGGAGCTGCTGGAGGTGCTGCTGGTGCTGGAGCTGCTGGAGGCACTGCTGCTGCTGGCGGTACTGCTGGAGGTGCTCGAGCTGCTGGTGCTGCTGGTCTTGGAGGTGCTCGTACTGGGGGTACTGGAGCTGCTGGGACTGGAGCTACTGAGGGGGTTGGAGCTGGAGTTGCTGAGCGGCCACGGCCGTACTACGTTCCGCTCCTTCAGCAGGTTCTTGGTCTCCCGCCCTCTACTGGTCCTACTCCTCCCCTACTGAGTCCACCGCCTGTCCAGTCACAGTCACAGTTACAGCCTGCCTCTCCACTGCCTGGTCCTTCTCCTTACACAGCGCCGACGAGTAGTCTTACTGAGCGTCGTGAGCCTGAGTCTCGTCCTCCATCGCCTGATTCTAGTCCAGAGTCGCCTGTGTTGCGTCCAGAGTCGCCTGTCCGGGCTGTCCGCGCTAGTCGTCGTGCTCCGCGTGAGCGTCCTCCTCCTGTCCTTGGCACTCACTATATGACCCTGCGTCCTTCCACTGCTCCACAGCTCGTCCCACTGCCGTCTCCTCCTGCGTCCTCTCTTCCTGACGTTGCTGACCCGCCGTCAGACCTTACTCGTGCTGCCAGTCCTACTGTCGCGCGTCTCCTTGCCACTGTTGTCACTGACCCTACCTTTGAGTCCTCTACTGCGTCTGATCTAGTCGCTGAGCTTGTTGACTTTGCTGCCGCCTGTCGTCTAGACTACGCCGCTAGCCTTGTTGCTGAGTCTGAGTCTGTCTGTCCTCCGTCCGTCGGGGGTGAGTGTGCTCTTGGCACGGACGTCCTTGAGGACAGACAGGAGGAGTTTGAGTGCTTTGCTGCTGCTTTACCTCATCTCGTGTCCATGCTGATTTCCCCTGAGGGAGACCCGGATGCACCAGACATTCCGACCCCACGCTCCTACGCAGAGGCGATGGAGGGTCTCTACTCCTCTCAGTGGCAGACAGCCATGGACGCAGAGATGGCTTCCTGGAAGTCCACAGGCACCTACGTCGACGAGGTTCCCCCACCTGGGGCGAACATCGTCAGTGGCATGTGAATTTTCAGGGTGAAGCGGCCGCCGGGTTCTCCGCCTGTCTTCAAGGCGCGTTACGTTGCACGAGGCTTCAATCAGCGAGAGGGAGTTGACTTCTTCCAGACCTTCTCCCCGACCCCGAAGATGACCACTCTTCGGGTTCTGCTGCACGTCGCTGCTCAGCGTGACTACGAGCTCCACTGCCTTGACTTCAGCACTGCTTTCCTACAGGGCACCCTGCACGAGGAGATCTGGCTGCGCCGCCCACCTGGCTTCACTGGGTCGTTCCCTCCTGGTACCCAGTGGAGCCTCCGGCGGCCAGTCTACGGTCTCCGCCAGGCACCTCGTGAGTGGCACGACACACTGAGGCCTACTCTTACTGCTCTTGGGTTTGCTCCTTCTACTGCTGACCCGTCGTTGTTTCTACGCACCGACACCACTCTGCCGCCGTTCTACGTTCTCGTGTACGTAGACGACTTGGTCTTTGCTACTGCTGACACTGAGGCACTCGCCCACGTGAAGTCGGAGCTGCAGAAGAGACACACGTGCACAGACCTGGGTGAGCTGACAAGCTATCTTGGCTTGCGGATCACCCGGGACAGAGCACAGCGCACCATCACCTTGACTCAGTCACACATGGTGCAGCAGGTCCTTCAGCGCTTCCGCTTCACGTACTCCTCGCCTCAGCCCACTCCTCTGCCTACCGGTCACTCGCTCTTAGCTCTGCCTTTGGATGAGTCCGTAGAGCCGAGTGGCCCGTATCCAGAGCTTGTGGGCTGCCTCATGTACCTGATGACCTGCACTTGACCTGACCTAGCCTACCCTCTTAGCATCCTAGCACGCTATGTCGCTCCTGGCCGTCACCGGAAGGAGCACATGGATGCCGCTAAGAGGGTGTTGCGCTACTTGTGCAGTACGTCGGGCATGGGGCTTGTGCTTGGAGGACGGCGCGACGTTGTCCTCACTGGGCACTCAGACGCTTCTTGGGCTGACGACCAGGCTACTCAGCGGTCGTCTCAGGGTTACACCTTCAGCCTTGGCTCTGGCTCAGTTTCTTGGCGTTCTACACGCTCTTCCTCTGTTCTCAGCTCCAGTTGTGAGGCTGAGATCTACGCCACAGTCATGGCTGCCCAGGAGCTTCGCTGGCTCACCTACCTGCTGACCGACCTGAGAGAGCGGCCTCGTTCTCCTCCAGTGCTGTACGTCGACAACAAGGCCGCCCTTGCCTTGTGTCAGGAGCACAGACTGGAGCACAGAACAAAGCACATCGCTCTGCGCTACTTCCTTGCTCGAGAGCTGCAGCAGCGTGGTCAGCTTCGTCTTTCGTACGTGGCCACTTGGGCCAACACTGCTGATGTGTTCACCAAGGCGCTTCAGCCTTGTGATCATCAGCGTTTCTGTACTGTTCTAGGCCTTGTGCCTACTCTCCCTCACTTGCTCACTTCTTGACTCTGCTTGTACTGTGATCTCTATATATATACCTGCATGCTTACACTTGCTAGGTTTTGATCACTGTACCTCTTGTTTATTATCAAACTGCATGTGAACTGGTCTTGTGACCGCTTGCTTGTGCTCGGAATTTGTGTGGTATCCTTGAGATCCACCCTGAGCTTTGCTTTGCTTTGCTTTGCTTTGACTGGTCTTGTGACCATCTGGTTGTCTCCCACTTAGCCTATGGGGGTGTGTCAAACATTGTATGTTTACATTGTGTAGGCTATAGTGGGTTTAGCCTTAGGGGGTACAACAAACTTAGGGTTTCCTACTTGTGCCCAACTTTCTGCTAGTTCATTCATTCTCGTTCGTTCTTAGTTTCTAACAGGAAATTGGTTCGGTGCCAAAGCTAAAACACCCGCAAAATGTTCGAGCATCCTGTCAGTCTCATGTACCATCAAAATGTTTTGCAATTGCATCACAGGCAAAAACGGGAGGTGTCGCACAGTCAAATGCCAAACCAACCCCTAGACTTCGCCACCTCAAACAGGGTGACTCAGCTTCATTTGTTTTGCAGTTGATCACGCTTTCTCTTACGTGAGACCCTGGTTTTAACTTCTATCCACAGGCTGATGTGGCAAATGCTCGTTTTTTGTTGTGTTTTGCCTGTTTTTCACTTGTGTTTGGTAGGGAATCAGCCGTGGCAGCGTAGGATATCGTGTCGCGCTCCTTGTCATTTCACATCAACGGCCCAAACTCCAACGTTTTTTCGTGCGGTCGAGATCGATTTCGATTTGGCGTCATGTTGTCGTTGTAATCGGAACTAGTCAATGACTGTACAATTTTTGGGGGAAACCCGAGTGTTTGCAAGCAGAAAACGTGGCATCTTTTTCGTGAGAAGATTTTTGTGACGCACGTGTCTAGTGTTTGCAAGAACGTGATCATAAACAGCCGTTTCTAGCAACCTGGTGTATGTCACGGTTCTTGAAATCTCGTGACGCCTTGGTCATACGAAGTCAAAACGCACTGTGATATTTTTCGGGAGTGCGTGGTTTCTTCCTATTGGTCGCGTCAAATCCGGTTCTCCAAACAGCACTTTTTCGCTGACCAATATTTCGGAACGACCGTATTGGCTAACGGGAATGTCGCAACGTCACTCGAAGTTCAAAATTCGCGAAGTGTAATTTTCGCGATGCGATTTGAAATGTGTGAGTGAAATGCGCGGCTCGTAAGTGCGCGTCCTTTTTCTACGGGGGGATGCGGTTCAATACGACGCTGCACGGTTTTAAACGCTTTAATAAACAACTAATTCGGTTGAGATGGGTATCGAGTGAGAATGATACTAGAATGACGCGCCCTAATGCACACCCCTTCGAATTGAACCTGAATCTCAGCACTACATCTCACGACAACTCTGTGTTCACGCGCTTCACATCACCTCAACCAGGGGGGTATAATATTTATGCAAATCACTCATGCTTTGTTTTCTTTTTGCCTTCACTACACACAAATTAGTCCTGCATCCGCCACTATGGAATGCCCAGACTGTAGTTTGGGGCCTTTCTACGTGTATTCTGCTCTAGAATCGCATAGAGGTAGTGCGGCTTGCAGAATAGCTGCTGCATCCAGAGGCGCAGAGGCGTCAGATTCCCCACCAATCCAACCCCCCGCTCGACGTCGGCGCGTGTGGAGTCCTTCCAGAAGTGAAAACGTATTCGTACCACCTACGTTTGATGAGCCAGCTGATGACGACGGTGTGGAAGCGGCAGCCGCTCGTGCCGCCGATGATCCGGAGGCATTCATGGCACGCATGAGTGACTCGAGTGGGATAGAGGAAGTTTCTCAGATTCCCAACGGATCTAATCCGCGCCCCGCAGCTCCATTCTCCTTCAAGGACGAATTGGCACGCTGGATTCTCCAAGAGCGCATATCTCAACATTCGGTAGCTAGATTATTTAATATTCTTAGCCATGAAGGCGCATCGTGGGCAGACGTTGCGGAATGGAGATCTTCGCGAGATGTGTACCGACATGTGCAATCGAGAGTGGCTGACTGTGACCGTCCGTGGAAGAAGGGGGTTACTCGCGTTGGAACAAAGGCATTTTTGACCTTTTGGTACTGTGATAGCTTGAAGGTATGTTGGAGTGTTTGCTCATGTCTTTTTCAGCGCCCCACTAATCCCTCGTTCCCACATGGCTAAACATTTGCAGGCCCTACAAGATCTGTTGAGTGAACCGAGACTTAGCCATCCGCTTGTTACACGTGCGCATAGAAAGAGAGTGAGGGGCGTGAGGGTGTATGACGCCCCCGAAACCGGCAATTTTTGGAACGACGTGCAAGTGAGTGCCTCCCCATTATGCTATGCACCTATCCCTGACCGTTCATACATTTTCCAGCACACCCCCTCTCTCCCTGCTATCTATTCTGCTATGCCTGGCTCTCCCTACCTCTCCCTCACCATCCTGATGCATTTCCAGCACATCCTCTCTCTCCCGGCTAGCCATTCTGCTATGCCCGCCTCTCCCAACCTCTCTCTCACCGTCCTCATTGTTTTTCAGCACACCCACACTCTCCCTTACTCCCATTCTGCTATGCACCTCTCCCTGACCGTCCTAAATTCTTCACGCATACCCTCCCTCTCCCTGCTCCCCATTCTGCTATAACAGGCTCACCCAACTTCTCCTTAACCATCCTTAAACTTTCCAGCACACCACGTCTCTCCCTGTCCTGATTCTACTATGCCCGCCTCTCCCAACCTCTCCCTCACCGTCATATTTTTTTCCAGCACACCACCTCTCTCCCTGCTCCCCATTCTGCCATTCCTCTCTACCTCTCCCTGCCAGCCCCTCTCTACCTCTCCCTGCCATTCCTTCTCTCCCCTGCGCTTCCCTCTCGCGCATTGCCCCACATTCTGGATTTCCAGTCCCTCTCTACCTCTCCCTGCCATTCCTTCTCTCCCCTGTGCTTCCCTCTCGCGCATTGCCCCTAGTTCTGGATTTCCAGTCCCTCTCTACCTCTCCCTGCCATTCCTTCTCTCCCCTGCGCTTCCCTCTCGCGCCTTGCCCCACATTCTGGTTTTCCAGTCCCTCTCTACCTCTCCCTGCCATTCCTTCTCTCCCCTGCGCTTCCCTCTCGCGCATTGCCCCACATTCTGGATTTCCAGTCCCTCTCTACCTCTCCCTGCCATTCCTTCTCTCCCCTGCGCTTCCCTCTCGCGCCTTGCCCCACATTCTGGTTTTCCAGTCCCTCTCTACCTCTCCCTGCCATTCCTTCTCTCCCCTGCGCTTCCCTCTCGCGCATTGCCCCACATTCTGGATTTCCAGTCCCTCTCTACCTCTCCCTGCCATTCCTTCTCTCCCCTGCGCTTCCCTCTCGCGCCTTGCCCCACATTCTGGTTTTCCAGTCCCTCTCTACCTCTCCCTGCCATTCCTTCTCTCCCCTGCGCTTCCCTCTCGCGCATTGCCCCACATTCTGGATTTCCAGTCCCTCTCTACCTCTCCCTGCCATTCCTTCTCTCCCCTGCGCTTCCCTCTCGCGCATTGCCCCTAGTTCTGGATTTCCAGTCCCTCTCTACCTCTCCCTGCCATTCCTTCACTCCCCTGCGCTTCCCTCTCGCGCATTGCCCCTAGTTCTGGATTTCCAGTCCCTCTCTACCTCTCCCTGCCATTCCTTCTCTCCCCTGCGCTTCCCTCTCGCGCATTGCCCCACATTCTGGATTTCCAGTCCCTCTCTACCTCTCCCTGCCATTCCTTCTCTCCCCTGTGCTTCCCTCTCGCGCATTGCCCCTAGTTCTGGATTTCCAGTCCCTCTCTACCTCTCCCTGCCATTCCTTCTCTCCCCTGCGCTTCCCTCTCGCGCCTTGCCCCACATTCTGGTTTTCCAGTCCCTCTCTACCTCTCCCTGCCATTCCTTCTCTCCCCTGCGCTTCCCTCTCGCGCATTGCCCCACATTCTGGATTTCCAGTCCCTCTCTACCTGTCTTTGTATCTGCATCCTTTTCAGAAGCCTTCTTCCAACCCCCCAACAGGATCGCCTTGGCATCGACGACGTCGTTGCCACTCTCATTCTCTCGTCGGATGAGACAATAGCTGACGGCCGAGGAAAAGCTAAGGGGCATCCCATCTACATGTCATTGGGAAACATTCATCATGAGGATCGCTGGAAGCCATACGGGCATGCGCTCATTGCAACGTTACCGGAGTTTCCGGCGGAGTACACGTCGGTTGACCGACTGCAGATCTTCCAGTATGTCTTGCGCCTCGTTCTTCAGCCATTGAAAGATGCTTTACACGTGTAAGTGCCCCCATACTCATCCCCGACCTATCCTGCTCACCATGCTCGCCACATGATGCACTTCCTTTCAACACTATGGGCCTTGCTTCTGTGACTGCCCTCCTACTCATCTCTCTCCTCTCCTTCTCAGATTGCTGCCCCATGCTTCGCTCTTAGCATTCTTCCAACCTCGCTGCCCTTTTGCGTCCTTTACTTCCCTCCTCTCATCCCCCTACCCTCCTTCTCGAATTGCTGTGCCCATGCTTCCCTTCTCACTAGTTGTCTTTGTCAGAATATTATGCTCTAGCCTGTAGTGGGGTGCTCTATAGCGAGTACAACCCTTCTAGGGTTTGCTATTTGTATCCTCATTCTTGCTAGTGCAATCCCTCCCTTTTTGCCTAAACTGTTTCTTGCCTAGCTAGGGCTTTCCTAGCTTTGGCGCCTTCTTCTACTGCTTATCTTCACATGGTATTAGAGCGATATGCTCCTGGCCTGTGGGCCCCACCTCACTGCTTCCGCTGCTACTGCTACTCCCTGTCCGCCGCGCGCCCCGTGGTGCGCGGCGTCGAAATTAGGGTTTTTCAGCCCGCCGTGCGCCCCGAGGCGCGTGGCGGTTTTCTGCCCGCCGTGCGCCCCGAGGCGCGCGGCGGTTTTCTGCCCGCCGTGCGCCCCGAGGCGCGCGACGGGTTTCTGCCCCGTCACTCGGCGCGTCGCCCCCAGGAGGCGCTACGACGGGCGACGGGGACCCGCGCGTCGCCCCCCGTCGCCCGTCGTGGCCTGCGCGCGGCCCGTACAGCCGGCGCGCGGCCCGTACGGGCTGCGCCAGGCCTGCGCGCGGCCCGTACGGGCTGCGCCAGGCCCGCGCGCGGCCCGTACGGGCTGCGCCAGGCCCGCGCGCGGCCCGTACGGGCTGCGCCAGGCCCGCGCGCGGCTCGGGCCGCCTGCGCGCGGTTCGGGAGGCTGTGCCAGGCCCGTGGGCGGCCCGTTCTTCGCTGCCCCTGTCCTCCCCGCTGTCCCCCGTGCTTCTGAAGGCGCCCCACCCCTCCTTCTGCCCGTTCTCCTGGATTAGGGTTTGGGGGTGGGGGGTATGGGGGTGCAGCTTCTGTGTGCCGTTCCCTGCTCCTCCTCCTCCTCCGTCTCCCTGTGCTGCAGCTGCCGCTGAGGGGGGGTGGACCTGTTGGAGCCGTCGGAGTGGTACTAAGGGGGGGTGAAGGGGGAGTGGAGCTAGGGGTGAAGCAGGGGGTGTGTGTCAGGGGGGATGGTACTGTTTGGGGGAGGTTGAACGGAGGTTGCCGTCGTGTCGCTAGCACCTGTAGTCCGGGGAGTTGCTCCGGTAGCCCAGTCGTAGCCACCTGTGCCAGTCGCCCGTGGGTCCGTTGCTCGTCTGCCGCTACTTTTAGCCGCGGGGCCAGTTACTCCAGTAGTCCGGAGCGCTGTTCCGGTAGCCGCTGTGCCAGTGTGCCTCCTGTTGCCCGTGTGTCTGCAGCTTCAGCCGTCGCCTCCTATCTCCTCTCCTCTCACTGTCCCTCCTCCTCTTCACTTGCCCGTTGTGACTACCACTAGCTTTGCTCATAATTGTGAACTTTAAACTATTGCTTCCTGAACTTGTGCTCAGAATGTGTGGTGACATTGTGATCCACCCTGAGCTTGTTCTGCTTTGCTTGCTCTGCTGATTACACCCCACTTTGGCTATGGGGGTGTGTCAGAATATTATGCTCTAGCCTGTAGTGGGGTGCTCTATAGCGAGTACAACCCTTCTAGGGTTTGCTATTTGTATCCTCATTCTTGCTAGTGCAATCCCTCCCTTTTTGCCTAAACTGTTTCTTGCCTAGCTAGGGCTTTCCTAGCTTTGGCGCCTTCTTCTACTGCTTATCTTCACAGTCTTACCTCTTTGCCCGTTGCCTACATTTCGATTTTTCAGGGGGACCCATGTGCATGACCAGTCTGGTCACGTTTTCACAGCCTACCCAGCACTATACGCCTATGTGGCGGACTACCCAGAGACGTGCAAACTCACCTGCACCAAGTCACTAGGTAGATTCTACCCCTGTTCCTTATGCAAGGTCCACAAAACAGAGTTAGACTCTTTCACGCAGAGAGACGAATATCGCTCATCCGAAGAACAAGATGTCATCTACAAGGCCGTCTCTGCACGGCAACGAGGGGGGCCTCACCCGCAAACCTACAGCACTCATCATGTAGAGGTAAGTGTAAAACAATCCACTGTTTTTGCGTCATATACTAGTCATGTTTCATTCAACCCTCTCCTGCCATTCTAAACCCAACGCAGTGCGCGCTTCATGGCTTCCGTTTCGAGTCAGAGCCGTGGGGCAGCCCTTATATGGCGGTGATGCCAGACCTAATGCATCAGGCCGATCTTGGCATGCTGGAGCACATTATTGCCGCCTTGAGAGGGGTCATTCATCAAAAATACCACGTCGCCATCGACGAGTACGTTACATCGCTTGACACCATTCTTGCTAAGATTCCACAGTGCATAAGACTAAAGTATCTCTCTCCCCTTCATTGCAGCATCTTGAAGCACCTGAAGTTGACATGTCGGGTTGATGGTTTGCGCCTACCATCTGGCGAGTATTTCCGTCTAGGTGCTTCGTTCCAAGCTTACGAGCACAGGTCTGTCATGCAAATCCTTCCTTTCCTCATTCGAGACTATGTGGCGAAACCACACATGGATGCCGTTGTGGCATACATCGAGTGGTATCACAAGTGTGGGAAGACGAGAGTCTATGACGAGGAAACCTTGACAAAATACGAGGAACAATCCAAGAGGTACGTACGCTTTATACATTGCATGTATATCATTGTAGGATGCCCTTCGACCTGACTAAATCTTGTGTGGTTGTATTTGCAGGTTAATTGAGCTTCTAAAAAGGAGCTTCCCTCTCTACAAATGGAAATTTATCAAGACCCACTTGATGAGTCACTACATCGACGCAATTCGCCGTGCAGGCCCTCCACTCCACTATGATGCAAGCATGTTTGAGCACTTTCACAAGGACCATATTAAGAGGCCCTACCGTGCATCCAACAAGCGTGACGCGGGTGGACAAATCATCCAAGCGGAGGAAATCCGCTTGCAACTGGATTCGCTACCTCAAGCCGAGTTGGACACTACACACGAATACAGTAATGCAATGCGTGAGGTACGTATATATTACAGTGACAAGCAAGCCTTACTTTTTGCGTGAACGATGGTACCATCCTGCTTTTTTTCTAAACTTTGTACAGGCATTGAGGACGGGAGTACGTACACTCTCTAAGAGTTCATGGGGGTTGATCGTTCACGCGGGACGTCGCGAGCACCCATACGTCGGATTCTCCAAGGCTGACCCGAAGCGAGACCAATTGTATCTGGACAGCCTACATCACGACCTCCCATATCTTCGTCGTTCCATCGATCGCGACGTACCCAACGGCTCGAACATCGACACAATTTACGTACGTTACCCTAAGCACGCTTTTGTTTGTTGCACGCCTTGCAACCATTACGTTATGCTTTTACTAATGATGCAATATGTGGCACGCAACTGCTGTACAGGTTCATGTTGAGTTGGCCATGCCACCCGCGACGGACGAGGCTTTTTCTAGCACCCCACACCGTATCCGAGCGGTTCCGCTATTCCACAAGAAAGTTTGGTTCAGTGATGTTGCAGTTCAAGGAACAGGATCGGAGTGGTACGGCAAGGTTCTGCTACTATTCCATGTCGGCCATGGTCTCGATCGACGCGAATTCGCATTCGTGAGGTATTATATCGAGCATGACGCGTTAGATGAATTGACCGGCTGCCGGCAATTCAGTTTAGAGGGGGTTTCTCAAAGGTACATGGTTGTAGAGACGGTTTCCATCCTTAGAGCTGTCCAATTTGTGCAGCTTGAGTCGGCAGGCCAGACATGGTTCCTCAACCATTTTCTGTTTTGATTCCCATGTGTTGCATATTTGTATATATTGTACACTGATATGAGTACTGTTTCATAAAGTAACCGGCTCCAAAATCGTGTATCTGCTTAGCGAGAGAAAAGAGTGTCGTGCGGGTGAAAACGTGTTCTCGTAACACATGTTTCTTCTGATTTGACCTCGTTAGCACAACTACGCAGCACGTGGCGCATGTTTGAGCGTTGCTGGCCTTAAACTGCGCAAGGATAGGCCTGTGCGCAACATGTCACTGCGCCAACGTCTGGATGCCATTTTTACCACTATTTCTTCACACAGTTCCCTACTACATCCTATTCCCTAGCCATAGGAACAGATTTGACCTCGTTAGCACAACTACGCAGCACGTGGCGCATGTTCGTGCGTTTGCTGGCCTGAAACTGCGCAAGGATAGGCCTGTGCGCAACATGTCACTGCGCCAACGTCTGGATGCATTTTTTACCACTATTTCTTCACACAGTTCCCTACTACATCCTATTCCATAGCCATAGGAACTGATTTGACCTCGTTAGCACAACTACGCAGCACGTGACGCATGTTTGTGCGTTTGCTACCCTGAAACTGCGCAAGGATAGGCCTGTGCGCAACATGTCACTGCGCCAACGTCTGGATGACCTTTTTACCACTATTTCTTCACACAGTTCCCTACTACATCCTATTCCCTAGCCATAGGAACAGATTTGATCTCGTTAGCACAACTATGCAGCACGTGGCGCATGTTTGTGCGTTTGCTGGCCTGAAACTGCGCAAGGATAGGCCTGTGCGCAACATGTCACTGCGCCAACGTCTGGATGCCCTTTTTACCACTATTTCTTCACACAGTTCCCTACTACATCCTATTCCCTAGCCATAGGAACAGATTTGACCTCGTTAGCACAACCACGCAGCACGTGGCGCATGTTCGTGCGTTTGCTGGCCTGAAACTGCGCAAGGATAGGCCTGCGCGCAACATGTCACTGCGCCAACGTCTGGATGCCCTTTTTACCACTATTTCTTCACACAGTTCCCTACTAAATCCTACTCCCTAGCCATAGGAACTGATTTGACCTCGTTAGCACAACTACGCAGCACGTGGCGCATGTTTGTACGTTTGCTGGCCTGAAACTGCGCAAGGATAGGCCTGCGCGCAACATGTTACTGCGCCAACGTCTGGATCCCCTTTTTACCACTATTTCTTCACACAGTTCCCTACTAAATCCTACTCCCTAGCCATAGGAACTTATTTGACCTCGTTAGCACAACTACGCAGCACGTGGCGCATGTTTGTGCGTTTGCTGGCCTGAAACTGCGCAAGGATAGGCCTGTGCGCAACATGTCACTGCGCCAACATCTGGATGCCCTTTTTACCACTATTTATTCACACAGTTCCCTACTACATCCTATTCCCTAGCCATAGGAACTGATTTGACCTCGTTAGCACAACTACGCAGCACGTGACGCATGTTTGTGCGTTTGCTGGCCTGAAACTGTGCAGAGATAGGCCTGTGCGCAACATGTCTCTGCGCCAACGTTTGGATGCTTTTTCTAGTACCCCACACCGTATCCGAGCGGTTCCGCTATTCCACAAGAAAGTTTGGTTCAGTGATGTTGCTATCCAAGGTACAGGATCGGAGTGGTACGGCAAGGTTCTGCTACTATTCCATGTCGGCCATGGTCTAGATCGATGCGAATTCGCATTCGTGAGGTAACAGCTTCCATTCTTAGAGCTGTTCAATTTGTGCAGCTTGAGTATGCAGGCCAGACATGGTTCCTCATCCATTTTCTGTTTTGATGACTTCTTGTAGTATATTTGTATATATTGAGTACTGATTGTTGTACAGATTCTAAAAAGCAGGCACTACAATCGTGTACCTATTTTGTGGGAGAAGGGAGTGTCGTGCGCTTGAAATCGTTCCCTATAACTCATGTTTCCTGCTAATACAGTCACTGTGTTTCCCCTGCTTTTGAGTTGGAGTCACCACGTTTGCTGGAATACCTTCGTCTAGGTCCACGTGGAGGATGTACCGTGGTCACCTCCACGGAAACTGACTGCAGTGCGGCATTGCGATTCGTCGCGAGCCCACGGTGACGGTGTGCGGTATTGCTCATGTCGCGCTGCAACAGCAACGATGTCGCTTGGTACAGAGCTCGAACGATCGCCCCAGCGACTTCCAACCACTTTCGACGACCAATCAGGAGCTCCCCGCCATTTTTTCCGAGCTGCAAACGATCGTAGAAATATGGTTTGTGCGACACTTCAGCTCAAACCCCAGTTTTTGTTTCTGCCGAGATGGTGAACCAACGCCCAATTACCCTTCCTGGAAATGATCCTCCTCCAGGCCGCCCTCAAAGACCCGTTGTGGTGCCTGCAAGGTACAATAATGGCGCACTTGGTGTTACCTTACCTGGGCGAAGGCATTCTGTTACAGCTGCGAATGAAGGTTCAGCCGGTAACCAGCCTGACAACTCGTCCCTAACTCTGCAAGGGATGTCGCCTGAGCAGCTTCAATTTTTGCTCTCTCAAGTCAGTGCTGAGTTCACCCGCAAGAGCTCCTCCACTTCTGATTCTGCTAACTTGGTCGCACCAGATCTCGTCGATGACCAGCTGTCGTCGGACGAGCTCAGTGCTGACAAGGCTAACGTAGGTCGCGATTTGCCATTAGAGCCCGAGGCAGACCCAATACTGGACGCTGGATCTGCCGACAGTAATTTGCCTGTCACACTTTCGCCGGCGCTAGAAGCAGCGGACGATGCGGACGAAAACGTCAGTGGCGAAAGCGAGGCCGACGACGACAGCGGTGACGACGACCGTCCCTTCCCTAGGCGCAAAAAGGGTTCCGTTGCTGCAATGCTTGGCGGTGCTCCTAACACTACGTCGAAGCAGAAGCGCAAACGCCAGAAGAAACGGGAAGGTGAGGATGTATAAGGATATTTTTATCGGAAACCCGGTTCTGCCCGTGTCTTGCCATTCACGGCGACAGGTAATGTACTTATATGAGACACTCGCCATTCTTTTACTATTGCAGAGATGGACGCCTAGCATATTTTAACGTGTTACGTGTTTGTGGTGTACGGTGCCCATATGATTGTGATGTGATATGCATGGTGTTTTGCAGAAGTTGTTCAGGCTGTTGACAGAGCCTAGGCTGCAGCTTCTTATCAGCAGCGCAGGGTCGAGTTGCAGCAGGAGACATTGGCGGACGTTCGGCGGCAACTGGAGGAGAGTCAGCGGGCGAATCAATTGCTCCAGGCGAGCAGGCCGGCCTCGACGTCTTCCGCGCTGCCCGTCAACGTTGCAAGCACTTCGCGAGGCCTCAGCGATCACCGTTCAACTCTGGCGCCTGCGGTCGCTCCTGGGGCGGTCGGACGATCGTTGGCAACCTCCGCGATTCCTGCGCCGCTCGCGCCAATCGCCTCTAGCTCACTTGGCTCACTTGGCGCCCAGCCGTGGGGCAGCCCTTATATCGCTCATCCGGGACCCCCAGCACCTCGACCAGATGCTCGTGAACCTTCGACCAAGCTTCCGGAGTCGCTTACCGAGCTCACCTTTTTCACGGTAAGCCGTGCGCATTGATTCTGAATACCCGCCGCCTAGCTTACGTTTATACCTTCAATGTTCCGCTCGCAACCTCGTATTCCCACCCACCCACCCCCGTACCTTCTGTACCTTGATCCTATGCTCGCAACCTCGTTTTCCCACCCACCCACCCTCGCAACCTTCTGTACCTTGATCCTGTACTTCGCAAGCCCGTATTCCCACTCTAATCCTATGCAACCCGCGCTTTCACCATTGGATTCAACCAATTTCTCATACATGCTTGGTAGAGGCATGGATCCATACATGCTTGGCTTCAACCAATATCTCTTGCACTCTGCATTTCCTTCTTGTAATGCATGGCAGCCAAAGTGCAACCAAGCAGTTCTGTACTTCATTGCTGAGGCTCCTCCGAGGGAGATTAACTTATGGCCTGAGCCGCAGGAGTTGAGGCAGCAACTCATCCGTACGTATCAGCTGGTGAACGTTTCCGAGGTAACGTTCAACCTTGTCATGAACTCTCACCCGGAACGGGAGAGGATTCTTAAAGACAAGTTCGGCGAGCGTCGGGGCAACCTCTTCACGCAGGTCAAGACGTGGGCACATGGGCCAGGCGGGTTCGTCAGGGAATCGAAGATTCCCATGATGGCTGCTGAGAACATGGCGCCGGTGCAGCGCCGCAACGTCCAGCAGTGGCACCTTTTCTATTTCGATGGTAAGTACCCATCCGTTTTTAATGTTGCATGCCGCGAGCACTTTGAAACTTGTTTCCTGAGATCTAAATGTTTTGTGCTTACATCGAGCGGATTTCTGTGCTTGCAGCCGTTTATGGCAGCAAGTGGCACTGCGATCCTGACACGGGGCGCCCGTTCGCCAACAAGGCGTTTGACATGGCGCTCTGCAAGGGACTTGGCGGTCGTAGGTGCAAGACGATGTTTGCCAAGATCCCAGTGGTGGCAACGATTTGCCATGTGGTGAGTTTGTTTCCCTTGCCAACGATCCAGTTTTTGCTCGAGCACACCCTCTCTCTCCCTGCTCCCCATTCTGCAATGCACCTCTCCCTCACTGTCCTGATTTTTTCCAACACACCCTCTCTATCCCTGCTCCCCATTTTCCCATATATTTTCAAATGTACCCTGCAGGTTGAATGGCCCATGGCAAATGCGGGGAGCCGTGACACGCCTGCCCTAGATGGCAGTGACTCCAACAACAGGAGGGAAGTGCAGCTGAAAGTGGGGGTGATTATTGATTGGATTAAGGATAGGTTATCCCGGGGGGATAATATCTATCGCAACACTGCCCCTGTAGGATTTCAGATGGGAGCAAACCCGTTAGTGCGTATTGTGATCGCAGGGTTTGAGGACGAGTTTGCTGGGTTGCTGCCATAAACCCTGATTTTCTAATTGTAGTACTGCTGCTCTAATGTATGCTCAAATTTTCTACAGTAATTTGATAATCACATTATTCTTTATTACTATTATTAGGGTGCAACCATTAGTTAATGATTGGGTGTTTCCAGAAAGTTCAGGCCTAGTTATGTTGGCTTTTGAGTGACTGTAAACAAGGACAATTTGGCTATTTTTATCAGAACTAGAAACAACTGTGAATGGCACTCTGGTTCACTGCCATTTCAACCCCAGTAAGTGGAGAACTCTGACCCTGGCGCCATGCTGATTTACGGCCAATAAGGGCCATCCCGGGCAATTAAAGCCAGGATCTCAAGTAGTTTGGCTGTTTTGCAGTTAGTGAATTGTGTTAGGCTGTGATTGGTTGACGAGGTAGAGTAGTTGACGAGAGCTGAAACGAGGGATGCGAAGCAAACAAAAATCGCAGTGAACTTCCGAACCAACTAGGCACGGAAATCTGGTTGGGTTCCGAAGCTCATTTCCCAGCAATGTGTCTCACTTGCCGAAAAATCTCATGTACAGCAATTTGTTTTGCAATTGAGATTCACGGGCAAATCGGGGATCAGTCGCACACTGAACCTCCAAGCCAACCACTCGATTTCGCCTAAACAAACAGGGTGACTCGAGCTGCAAGTGTTTTGCAATTGAAGCCAATTTCTCTTACTTGAGATCCTGGCTTTAACGGTCCGGCAATTATCGACCCCAATACGGCTAAAGTCTGCCTTATTTACAGCCGGGCAATTATTGGGCATAGATACATTGTTTACAACCTAAGTATGGATGTTAAAGCCGGCGGCCCAAATTGTTCATGCTTTTAAAAGTTGACCAGAGGGAGTTTTTCTGGTGTGGGCTTTGGCGAGAGTTTCCGATTTCGTCTAGGTTCGTTTTTTTCGCGAGACCCAGCCAACCCTCGGTTTTCCCCCTGGTGAGTGAATCTGTCTTCGGAAGTCCCAAATTGCAAGTGCGTGACTTTCAAAAGCTTGGACACTCAACTTCGTCAAGTTTTAAAAACTTGACCCTCGCGGCCCGCAATTTGGGACGCGGGCTTTAACGCCCGGAAATAGACCTGACATTTTTTAGATGCAGCGAGGGCGGAAATGATAGGGCGGCGCTTGGAGCGGCTCGAGATGAGTCTGCGGCGAGTCGCGCTTCGGAGGAGCAGAATTCGATTCAGTACGCGCGGCACGAGCTGGAAGCGAGGCTGCTTAAAGGGAAGCCGATCGGCAGCTGGATCAGGTGCGTGTCGCGCCATTGTTGGCGGTGTCGCGTCACGTTAGCAATTGTGTCGTGATCATCTGTCGGTGAGCAGATCTGATATCTTCTCATCATTCTCATCTCTGCTTCGCCATCTTTCCTTTGGTCTTACCCCTCGCCGCCCCACACCAGAGAGCTTCAGCTGATGTGGCGCGACGACACAGGCGCGCAGCATTCAGCATTTCTCAAGGCGCGGGACGGCAAGGAGCAGGGTCGAGGCGCCACGGGCTTCATCCAACGGATGGTGATCGACGGTCGGGATGTGATCCCTCCTTTCCACCCTGGGAGCTCCATCTCCGCGGACGGAGGCTTTAAGCTGCTGCTGGCGGAGAGCAGGAGCCAGCCCGGGAGGATAGAAGACGAGTTCCACCTGAAAATAGAGGGCGTGGTGGATCTGAGTTTGACGGCGCGGGTGGCCCATCCGCTCATGCAGACTGCGACTGAGGCGCAGGCGCACTTCAACGTGCATATCGTGCAGCTCAATGTAAGCTTTCACGAAACGTCTCAAAACCCTCAACGTGCATATCGAGCAGCTCAATGTAAGCGCTGACACGTCTCAAAACCCTTGACAGTGCATCTCAACGCCTCTGAGATGAATCAATGCGCATTTCAACGTGCATATTGAGCAGCTCAATGTAAGCGCTGACTCTTCTAGAAGCAGAAGTGGCTGTCATGCAGACCGTGTATCTCATGTATGTTTGCTGTTCTTCTGCATTCGCCCTCCCTCCTCTGAAGTCCCCTGGTCACTCTCTCTCTCTCTCTCTCTCTCTCTCTCTCTCTCTCTCTCTCTCTCTCTCTCTCTCTCTCTCTCTCCCCCCCCCCCCCCCCCCCCCCCCTCCTCTTCCTTCCCCCTTTCCTCACCAGCACACAGAGGGCATTCACGGCGTGTTGGGACAGACCTTTCGCGGAGAGGCATCTCGCGCCGTGCGGTCGCTGCGGCACCGGCTGCTCACCCGCCTGCTGCGGGAGCCGGTAGACGTGGAGAGCAGTGAGGGGGGCGACGGGCTGCTGGATGGGCGCGTGCAGGACTATCTCACCTCGGGAATTGCCGCCCCGGACTGTGCATTCGCTGCTGCGTGGAGGAGGGGAGAGCACGAGAGTGAGATGGGCGACGACGGGGTTGATTCGATGTGATAAATGAGTGTGTGAGATCAGTTGTGCTGTCCCTGTGTGTTCCTTGCCGCATGGAGGATTGGAGAGCAGGGGATTGGGAGTGGCGCCGACAACGAACAGCGGGTCATGAGATGATTGAGTGTATGGGTGGAATAGTGCTTGATGTGTGTGAGGCTTTGCTTTGCTGGTAGATAGAGCATGCGGAGAACTCTCCCTCTTGGGCATGGGCGTGAGGCTGCAGCATCTTAGGAGAGTCGTTTTTGCAAAGCTTCTTTCTGGAATGAAATGTGTGTATGTCTCAGCTGTTTCTGTGGTACAGTAGTTCTTTGGAGTACTTGCAGCGTGACAGAAAGGCAAAGGAAATTCACTAAAAGTTGGACAACTTATACTACCCTTCCATCTGATAATCCAACACAAGCTATAAACTTTGCAAAAACAAGTGAGCGGTGACCTCAGCTGTTGCTAACTGGAACAACAGTCTGAGTTTGTAACAATACACTTATCCCGCATCCGCCGCACCAAATCATCCCTCCTAATCCCCTCCCCGTCCTCCCCACTCTCCCCCGCTGCAGTCACACCCTCCCAGTACAAGCAATGCATCTCTTTCTGATACACATCATATAAATAAGTCCCATTCTCCCACTTGTTCTTGATCGCCGGCCAGTCAAACCAATTCAATGCATACTGCCAGACCTGCTGCTGTGGGGTGTAGTTAACATCGTCGCACCCATCCAGCTCCCCAGGGGGAAAGGCATGACAGATGGCTTCGTGTGCAAAGTACCCGGAAACACTTATGTAAGCTTTGATTACCCGCGGCATGTTGTCGGTGTGGTTGGTGGCTTCTCTGAATGGCCAGGAGTAGGGTATGTGCACTCCCACTCGGGGGATGGGTACGTGGTCGGTCCATTCTAAAGCCCAGTGCACCTGATGGGGGAGAGGAGAGGTGGGAAAGGGGAAAAGGATGCATGAGAAGCAGAGTAGGGTATGTGCACGCCGACTCGGGGAATAAGTATGTGGTCGGTCCATTCTAAAGCCCAGTGCACCTGATGGGGGAGAGGAGAGGCGGGAAGAGGAGAGGAGGGGTGGGGAAGAGGAGAGGAGGGGAGGAGGAAGCACGAGAAGCAGCGTAGGGTTTTGATATGTCTCAAAACCCACCTTTTATCACGTGCACAAGCACAGAAGGATGGGTGTGTGGTTGGTTCACTCTAGTGCCTCAGTGCACCACATAAGGCTGCCTGCCCCTTGCCCTGTCACCACTTATCGTCTCTCTTCATACTCACGAATTGCACACTCTCATCTCACGTGGTCCCATCTCTGCCTGCTCACCTCGTCCCATACCTGCCTGCTCACCTCGTCCTGAGTGAAGGCCCACATGTAGTTGCCCAGAGTCGTGTGGGCGATCTGCGTCCTGCAGAGGCAGACAGAGGGGCGTGAGAGAGGGACAGAGGGATTGAGATGGAGGCAGAGGGGTGTGAGAGGGACACAGAGGGGTTGAGATGGAGGCAGAGAGGAATGCGACGGAGGGTGGAGTGGAGTGTTGGAAGCCTGGGTGACAGCATCAGAGTAGGCTCAAAATGATGCAAGCACATCACAGTGGCACCAGAAACCACCCAGTAGCACCATACGCCACCCAGCAGCACTACACATACCCAGCAGCACCATGAACCACCCAGTAGGACCACGCACCACCCAGCTGCACCGCATCCCACATCTCACCGTTCAAACTTTGGTCCCCGTTTTGCAAAGAACTTGAAGGGCTTGTCGAAGCTCTTCCCAAACTTGTCCCGATGCACCTCCCCCACGTGCTCCCTGAACCTCGGCAGCACGTCCCTTGGAAAGACGAGTGTACGAGTGGCACCACATATCGCCCAGCAGCACCGCACACCACCCGGCAGCATCACACATCACCCAGCAGCACCGCACCGCACCCCACACCTCACTCACCGTTCAAACTTGGTCCCCGTTCCGCAAAGTACTTGAAGGGCTTGTCGAAGCTCTTTCCGAACTTGTCCCGATGCAACTCCCCCACGTGCTCCCTGAACTTGGGAAGCACAGCTTGTGGGAAGACGAGCGGTACCACATCTCACCCAGCAGCACCGCACCGCACCCAGCATCACCGCTCACCGTTCAAACTTTGGACCTCGTTCTGCAAAATATTTAAACGGCTTGTCGAAGCTCTTCCCGAACTTGTCCCGATGCACCTCCCCCACGTGCTCCCTGAACCGCGGCAGCACATCTCTAGGAAAGACGAAGGGCAGCTGCACCATGAAGTTGGCGAAGTAGGCGTGCTGCCCCACCAGCCAGCGCGTGGACGGCAGCCAGTTGTTGCGCTGCGCGTTGCGTGATCCGATCACTATCGGCTTGCGCTCTGTCAGATGGAACAGCAGGCCTGGGGTCACCTGGTGTTGGGGTGGGGTGGGGTGGGGGGGCAGGGGGAAGGGGCGGAGAGGAGAAGGAGGGAGAGGGGAGCATGGGTGAAACAACACCGTTAGTGGAAAGACAGAGTTGGTGAAGTAGGCGCGCTGCCCCACGAGCCAGCGCGTGGACGGCAGCCAGTTGTTGCGCTGCGCGTTGCGCGACCCGATCACTATCGGCTTGCGCTCTGTTAGGTTGAACAGGAGACCTGGCGTCACCTGGGGAGATGGAAGACAGGGGAGAGGCGGAAGGGGGGAAGGGGAAAGGAGAGAGGGGGAAGGCGTGGACGGCAGCCAGTTGTTGCGCTGCGCGTTGCGCGACCCGATCACCCATGGCTTGCCGTCCGTCAAGTTGAAGAGCAGACCTGGGGTCACCTGGTGTTCAAGGGGAATGGGGGTAGAGGGGGTGTTGGGGGCATGCAGTGCTTGTGACCCGATCACAAATGGCTTGCCGTCCGTCAGGTTGAACAGGAGAGCGGGGGTCACTTGGTGTTGGGAGGGATAAGGGGGCGAGGGGGAAAGGGCGGAGGGGGAAGTGGGATAGGGGGGCATGGTGTAGTTGTCGGACACCACATTGTCATCTATGATGGCAATGTATGGCGCCATGGTGTAGCTGTCAGCCCACAGGTAGCTCCACTGCTGCACCGCTGCACTGCTGCACTGCTCCACTGCTGGATGGTTGCACCAAGGCACGTAGACACGCACAGAAGCACGCGTGCACACACATGGGCATACCTTGAGGTTGAACACCACGTCGTCGTCTATAATCGCAATGTAGGGTGCCATCATGTAGTTGTCGGCCCACAGGTAGCTCCACTGCTGCACCGCTGCACTGCTGCATCCATGCACGCACGTACACGGCCCACCCCCCTCGCCTGCACGCGCACACGTACCTTGAGGTTGAAGACAACGTCATCATCTATAATCGCAATGTACGGTGCCGTGGTGTAGTTGTCCGCCCACAGGTAGGTAGCTCCACTGCTGCACTGCTGCACTGCTGGATGCACGCACCCAGGCACGCACACACATTTACACACACTGGGATGCACGAACACGCACGTACCTTGAGGTTGAACACCACGTCATCGTCTATAATCGCAATGTACGGTGCCGTGGTGTAGTTGTCCGCCCACAGGTAGCTCCACTGCTGGAGGATCTTCCCTGGCAGGTCTAGGTAGTTCTTCTCGTAATACACCTGGTGCAGATAAGGCAGACAGGGGAGACGGGGGAGACAGGGCAGACGGGGGAGCAAAGAGGTTTAGGGTGAGTGAGGGTCATTGGCACTGCTGCAGGATCTTCCCTGGCAGACAGGGCGGGGGAGCAGCAAGTTGAGGGGAGGGGAAGATAGGGCAGGGAGGGGAAGAGCAAGGGTGAGGGCAGGGAAAGGTAGCTCCACTGCTGGAGGATCTTCCCCGGCAGATCCAAATAGTTCTTCTCATAGTACACCTGGTGCAGATAAGGCAGACAGGGCAGACGGGGGGAGCAGAGAGGTTATCGCAGGGGAGTAGCACGGGTGAGAGCCATTGGCACTGCTGCAGAATCTTCCCCGGCAGATCCAAATAGTTCTTCTCGTAGTACACCTGGTACAGATAAGGCAGACAGGGGAGCAGAGAGGTTATCGCAGGGGCAGAGAGGTTATCGCAGGGGAGTAGCACGGGTGAGAGCCATTGGCACTGCTGCAGGATCTTCCCTGGCAGGTCGAGATAGTTTCTTAGTACACCTGGTGGTAGCTCGAGCAGACGATAGGGCAGACAGGGGAGCAGCAAGGTTGGGGAGAAGGGAGAAGCAAGGTAAGGTAAGGGGTGGGTGAGGTAAGGTAAGGGTGAGGTAAGGGAAGTGCCCAACCTTGTCTCACTACAGTTGACCCGCGTTGACTCACCTTGACCCAGGGCGTTGACTCACCTTGACCCAGGGCGGCACGAGGTCCCGGACAACGCTCTCGCCCTCGTCCAGCACCAGGATGACGTCACCAATGCCACGTGGCCACATCTGCTCGATGCTCCTGAACAGCACCTCTATCAGAAAGTATGCGTCTGACACGTGGCTGCGCACCAGCAGGTCTACACGAGCGGGCCACAGTGGGCTGGTTGGGGGGGAGACGGGGGATGGGAGGAGATGAAGGGCATCTGAACAGCACCTCTATCAGAAAGTAAGCATCTGACACGTGGCTGCGCACCAGCAGGTCCACACGCGCCGGCCACAGGGGGCTAGTTAAGGGGGTGACGGGGGCAATTGGGGGAGAAAAGGGTGGGGGAGATGGGAGGAGACGGCGGATATCTGACACGTGGCTGCGCACCAGCAGGCCCACCCGCGCCGGCCACAGGCGGCTGGTTGGGGGAGAGACGAGAGCGATTGGGGGAGATGGGAGGAAAACATACGAAAACGAAGGGCATCTGACACTTGGCTGGTCCACCCACCCGCGCCGAGAGGAAGAGGAAGAGGATTATGGGGGATAAGGAGAACCCCAATGCCCGTCGCTCCCGCCCGCATGCGCCACGCAATCGCACAGATTTGATCTTAATAGCCGCAATTCATATCCAGTACCCATCACTCACGCATACGCCTCGTCGTAAAGTCGAAGCATCTCTGACACGCAATACCCAGCCTTGGTGCGCCGCTGACAAGGCGCCACGCAGGCCCCGTGCCGGCTCGCGATCTCCCCGCACGGATTCCCCTCGCCCGTTGTAATCACACTCGGCGCAATCTCGCCGCGTTGAGAACTCGATACCCCCCCGACTGCGACGGACGCGGTGTTAGCTAAGTGCGAGTTAATCGACAGGCTGAGTTGCGCGGCGCGGAACCCGGAGGCGTGGCCGAGGCGGTGCGAGATCGCGGAGAGGGAGAGCATCATGGCGAAGAGGACGACGACGCATGCGAACGCCTGGCGACGCGTGACGACAAACGAGTCGGACCCAGAAGCGGCCTTCCTCATGGTTGTGCGACTGCTGCTGTTCGTGTCAGAATTAACGTTGCTTTACGGTGCGTTACGGTGTGTTACGGTAGACTACGGTAGGTTATGGTAGCTTACAAACGGGGTAGTCTGTTCTTGAGAATTCTAAGAAACGGCGTGTTACCACAAGAGACAAGCCTATCGGGCAGGATAGGAGCCGCGCCGTGGTTGACGGCGGCTGACACGGCGTGTCGTGGAAGATAGCTTGACGGGACATGGACGGGCGTTGGTTGGCGCGCGCTGCTGCTCATTCATTCTCCTGACCGGCAATGCGGTGGAAAACTGGTAGCCATGAAAAACTGCCATGTGTTTGCGTTGCGTTGCGATAGTTGCTGGTGGGAGTGGAGTGGTGGGTAGGTGAGTACGCGTTTGCCCTGATTTGATCAATTAAGTACACCAATTGCATGCAGATTGCAGATACATATAGAGTAATATTAAACAGTAATTTAACGTTACAAAAAACAACAAAATCGATTGTAACAATTACATACACCGGAACAGAGAGCAGCAAAAATACAGGGCACATTACATCATCATACAATGAAGAATCCCTACAAATACAGGTGCTGCTAAACCCACACGATTATACCATCACTGCTGAATGGCTACTTCAAAGTTGAATGGTGATGGTAATGCTCCTCTTGCCATCATTCTTCACATCGGGATACTTGGGAGCAACATTCCTGCGAGTACCACCCGACCCCGATGTTCCCGGTGACGGGGTCTGTGTGCGTGGAGGGCTCTTAGCAGGAGGCTTGGGGCTCTGCTTGGTAGGCGGCTTAGGAGTGGTCTTGGGTGGGGATTTCGGAGGGGATTTTGCAGGGGGCTTGGGAGTTGATTTGGGAGGGGACTTGGCTGGCGGCTTAGGGGTGGTTTTAGGAGAGGATGGCTTGGGCGGGGATTGCTTGGGCGGGGATTTTTTGGGCGGGGATTGCTTGGGCGGGGAAGGTGTCTTCACAGAACCCCCAGGGGAGCCGGATCCACCTGGTTTGCCTCCCGTGCCTCCCTTGCTGCCAGTACCACCCGTGCCGCCAGTGCCGCCAGTGCCACCGGGTTTGTTGCCGCCACTGCCGGTTGCACCCCCTGGCTTACCCGCAGCACTGCCGCCGCTGCCAGTGCCAGTGCCGCCGGTTGCGCCCCCTGGTTTGCCCGCACCACTGCCGCCACTGCCCGGGACAAAAGTGCCGCTGCTGTTGCCGTCTGGGTTGCTGAAATTAACGCAGGATGCCTCGTCAGAACCATCTGGTTCACAGACGGAGGAAGACAGAGAGAGCAAGTCGGGAGAAAGAATGGGAGTCAGCGCATGGGGTGGGGAGGCAGGCAGCACCAGAGAGAGCAAAAAAACTCTGGATAAGTAACACAAAAGCACAAACGGAGATATTTCGTTGTAAGAAACACTGGAGCAGGCTCATTGTGCGCGTGTGTCGCCCCTCCTCACCTTTGCAGTCGGCGACTTTGTTGCACCAGTTGAGCTTCGACACGCACTGCTGCTGGTATTTTGAGGTGGCTGAAAAGCCGGCTCACGGTGCGTCGCTTCTCACCTTTGCAGTCGGCGACTTTGTTGCACCAGTTGAGCTTCGACACGCACTGCTGCTGGTATTTTGAGGTGGCTGAAAAGCCGGCTCACGGTGCATCGCTTCTCACCTTTGCAGTCGGCGACTTTGTTGCACCAGTTGAGCTTCGACACGCACTGCTGCTGGTCCTTGCACTTGCGGAACCCCTTGGTGCAGTTCCAGTTCGCACACCCCACCTCGTCGCTCCCATCCTTGCACTCCCTCACCCCATTGCACCGCAACACATCATCAACACACTGCAGGTTATCACTGCACTTAGACGAGCCCTTCGGGCAGGTAAAACCCCGGCAGAAGGCCGGATCTTCATCTACCGCCACACTCCCGGCAAGTTTTCCCGGGCAGTCTGGGACGGCGTTGCACAGCGCGCCTCCCGGCTTGCACGTGGTCAGCCCCGGGCAGCGGAGGCTGTTTCTCGGGCAGGTGAAATTCGCGCAGAAGCCGGGGTTTTCGTCGAGCGCGTCCGGGCAGTCGGTTTTTCCGTCGCAGTACTGCCCGGGAAGGATGCAGACGCTGGGGGAGTCTGGGCAGAGCACGTGAGTGGCGTTGAGTGCGCCACAGTCCATGTCGAAGCTGCATATCCAGGGCCACTCGTCGCTGCCGTCCGCGCAGTTTTTCACCCCGTCGCAGTAGTCGCCCCGGCTGAAGCACCCGTTCTTGCTGGGACACTGCGAGCGAGGTGGGGGAGAGAGAAGGAGAGAGGGAGGAAAGGGGAGGGGGGGAGGAGAGGCGAGGGGAGGAGAGGGGAGAGTGGAGGAAAGGTGAGGGGAGAGATGAGGGAAGTGGGAGAGGAAATGAGCCAGGAGAGGGGAGGAGAGAGCACGAAGGGGGGAAGGGAAGATGAGGAAAGGGGAGGTGGGAGTGGGGCGGGAACAAGCCAAGCGGAGGTGAGGCGGGCATTGGGCAATGGAGCAGCGGAAGCAAGCACAGGTAGGGCAGGCGAGAGGGCGCAGCAGCAAAAGGAAAGACGCGTATGGCGGGGGGTAAGCGCGTAGGAAGGGGGTAAGGGGGTGGGGCGGGCGGCGGGAGTGGGGCGGGCAGAAGGGGCAGCCTCACCTGGTTGGCGCCGGGGCAGGGGTCAACGCTGCTGCCAGGAACCCCCTGCATGACGGGGAGAGGCGGGCGGAGGGGGAAGCGGAGGGAGGCGGAAAAGGGGGAGTTCTGATGCGCGGCAGGCAAAAGGGGGATGCGGAGAGACGGCGGGGAAGTGGGACGCGCGTCAAACGGCAGGGGTCGGTGCTGCTGCCATGCGCCTTCCGCCGGACGGGGAGAGGCAGGCGGAGGGACGGATGCGGAGGGAGGGAGGAAAAGGGGGAGTTTTGATGCGCGGCAGGCAAAAGGGGGATGCGGAGAAACGGCGGGGAAGCGGGACTCTGAAGGCGCCTCAAACGGCAGGGGTCGGCGCTGCTGCCATGCGCCTCCCGCCGGACAAGGAGAGGCAGGCGGAGGGACGAATGCGGAGGGTGGGCGGGGAAGGGGGAAGGCGGGAGCGCATGGCGGGAGGAATGGGGAAGGGGAAAGGGGGGACGGCGAAACGTGGGGGGGAAGGTGTGGGCCGGGGGGGAGAGGGGGGGAAAGGTAGATAGTGCGAGCCGAGGTGGTGAGATCAAGGGCCTGAACCTGGGCGGCCTGATGAATTGCCTCTTCACTGTCCATTCCTGATTGCTCTCAGAAGCTACTCCTCCTGTCTCTTCATACCCTTCCACCTGCGTTCCTGCCCCTACTCCTCTCGCCGAAACTCCCTCCGTCTTTTCAAATACTACCCTTCCGGCTCGAGTCGACTCAAATACTACCCTTTCTGTTTTCCAAAATGGCATTCCCGCCTGCCTCCGCCAGAACGACATTTCCAATCCCGTCAACCTCGTCCTTGCTAACTGTATGCTACGTGTTTTGAGTCGACTCAAAACACTTTCCAAGCGGCATTCCCGCCTGCCTCCGCCAGAAAGAGCTTTCCAGGCCTGTCAACCTCGTCCTTGCTAACTGTATGCTACTACCCACTGCGTGCCGCCCATTATGTGCCAACCACCTTGTGCCGCCCTACGTGTGCCGCCCTACGTCTGCCGCCCTACGTGTGCCGCCCTACGTGTGCCGCCCTACGTGTGCCGCCCTACGTGTGCCGCCCTACGTGTGCCGCCCTACGTGTGCCGCCCTACGTGTGCCGCCCTACGTGTGCCGCCCTACGTGTGCCGCCCTACGTGTGCCGCCCTACGTGTGCCGCCCTACGTGTGCCGCCCTACGTGTGCCGCCCTACGTGTGCCGCCCTACGTGTGCCGCCCTACGTGTGCCGCCCTACGTGTGCCGCCCTACGTGTGCCGCCCTACGTGTGCCGCCCTACGTGTGCCGCCCTACGTGTGCCGCCCTACGTGTGCCGCCCTACGTGTGCCGCCCTACGTGTGCCGCCCTACGTGTGCCGCCCTACGTGTGCCGCCCTACGTGTGCCGCCCTACGTGTGCCGCCCTACGTGTGCCGCCCTACGTGTGCCGCCCTACGTGTGCCGCCCTACGTGTGCCGCCCTACGTGTGCCGCCCTACGTGTGCCGCCCTACGTGTGCCGCCCTACGTGTGCCGCCCTACGTGTGCCGCCCTACGTGTGCCGCCCTACGTGTGCCGCCCTACGTGTGCCGCCCTACGTGTGCCGCCCTACGTGTGCCGCCCTACGTGTGCCGCCCTACGTGTGCCGCCCTACGTGTGCCGCCCTACGTGTGCCGCCCTACGTGTGCCGCCCTACGTGTGCCGCCCTACGTGTGCCGCCCTACGTGTGCCGCCCTACGTGTGCCGCCCTACGTGTGCCGCCCTACGTGTGCCGCCCTACGTGTGCCGCCCTACGTGTGCCGCCCTACGTGTGCCGCCCTACGTGTGCCGCCCTACGTGTGCCGCCCTACGTGTGCCGCCCTACGTGTGCCGCCCTACGTGTGCCGCCCTACGTGTGCCGCCCTACGTGTGCCGCCCTACGTGTGCCGCCCTACGTGTGCCGCCCTACGTGTGCCGCCCTACGTGTGCCGCCCTACGTGTGCCGCCCTACGTGTGCCGCCCTACGTGTGCCGCCCTACGTGTGCCGCCCTACGTGTGCCGCCCTACGTGTGCCGCCCTACGTGTGCCGCCCTACGTGTGCCGCCCTACGTGTGCCGCCCTACGTGTGCCGCCCTACGTGTGCCGCCCTACGTGTGCCGCCCTACGTGTGCCGCCCTACGTGTGCCGCCCTACGTGTGCCGCCCTACGTGTGCCGCCCTACGTGTGCCGCCCTACGTGTGCCGCCCTACGTGTGCCGCCCTACGTGTGCCGCCCTACGTGTGCCGCCCTACGTGTGCCGCCCTACGTGTGCCGCCCTACGTGTGCCGCCCTACGTGTGCCGCCCTACGTGTGCCGCCCTACGTGTGCCGCCCTACGTGTGCCGCCCTACGTGTGCCGCCCTACGTGTGCCGCCCTACGTGTGCCGCCCTACGTGTGCCGCCCTACGTGTGCCGCCCTACGTGTGCCGCCCTACGTGTGCCGCCCTACGTGTGCCGCCCTACGTGTGCCGCCCTACGTGTGCCGCCCTACGTGTGCCGCCCTACGTGTGCCGCCCTACGTGTGCCGCCCTACGTGTGCCGCCCTACGTGTGCCGCCCTACGTGTGCCGCCCTACGTGTGCCGCCCTACGTGTGCCGCCCTACGTGTGCCGCCCTACGTGTGCCGCCCTACGTGTGCCGCCCTACGTGTGCCGCCCTACGTGTGCCGCCCTACGTGTGCCGCCCTACGTGTGCCGCCCTACGTGTGCCGCCCTACGTGTGCCGCCCTACGTGTGCCGCCCTACGTGTGCCGCCCTACGTGTGCCGCCCTACGTGTGCCGCCCTACGTGTGCCGCCCTACGTGTGCCGCCCTACGTGTGCCGCCCTACGTGTGCCGCCCTACGTGTGCCGCCCTACGTGTGCCGCCCTACGTGTGCCGCCCTACGTGTGCCGCCCTACGTGTGCCGCCCTACGTGTGCCGCCCTACGTGTGCCGCCCTACGTGTGCCGCCCTACGTGTGCCGCCCTACGTGTGCCGCCCTACGTGTGCCGCCCTACGTGTGCCGCCCTACGTGTGCCGCCCTACGTGTGCCGCCCTACGTGTGCCGCCCTACGTGTGCCGCCCTACGTGTGCCGCCCTACGTGTGCCGCCCTACGTGTGCCGCCCTACGTGTGCCGCCCTACGTGTGCCGCCCTACGTGTGCCGCCCTACGTGTGCCGCCCTACGTGTGCCGCCCTACGTGTGCCGCCCTACGTGTGCCGCCCTACGTGTGCCGCCCTACGTGTGCCGCCCTACGTGTGCCGCCCTACGTGTGCCGCCCTACGTGTGCCGCCCTACGTGTGCCGCCCTACGTGTGCCGCCCTACGTGTGCCGCCCTACGTGTGCCGCCCTACGTGTGCCGCCCTACGTGTGCCGCCCTACGTGTGCCGCCCTACGTGTGCCGCCCTACGTGTGCCGCCCTACGTGTGCCGCCCTACGTGTGCCGCCCTACGTGTGCCGCCCTACGTGTGCCGCCCTACGTGTGCCGCCCTACGTGTGCCGCCCTACGTGTGCCGCCCTACGTGTGCCGCCCATGCTATCAGCGGAAAGCATCGCCACGCGCTACGGCGATGGTTACGCACGATGGTTTTGCGCGATGGTTACACCTCAGGGAATGGTTACCTGCGAGCTGCTCGCCGCGACGAGGAGCGCCAGCAGCAGCAAGCGGAGGCACACGTGGCGGTTCGCGAACGCCATGGGTGGGAACGGCGATGCTTCACGCCGCTGAGTACGGCGCGTTGTGCGCTGCTGCTCCTAACCCTTCGAATGGAGCTGAAGAAATCAACTAGGACGGACGATGGAAGCAAACTTCAGAAGTTGATCATAAATGCTTGAGTTTCGCGGTTTGGACACGATACGACGGGTAACGCGGGCCTGAGCTTCGCGGCTGGGAATGACGAAAACTACCAGATACGTATGAGGATAGCGTTGATGTGTATCGTGCTGCAGGACCAAAAACCAGGTTTTCAGGGACAGAGGAGTGAAGGCGAACCAGGGGCTACAGTACTAATGCGGCCCAGGCATAATCATGCCAGATCTAGAAGTCGTTGTGTGAACCGAGTACAGATGTTCTGGATTAAGAGCCCGCGGTAACAGAGTCCGTTTTCAGAAACGAGTAGCTTTTTCCTATATCTCCTAGGTGTAGCCCCTCCTCTACAAGCCCTTTTGGCGGGAATTTTTGCCGCGTGACGGGCTTGATAACTGTTCCGTGCACAAAATCAGTTCCGCAGCCAATCGGAGGACTCGAATCGAACCAGACCAGATTTCGCGTAGATTACCTGGTTAGGCAGATTGTATATTCTATATTAGTTTTTGAATTATCTCTTAACCGCAATGTCTTCTACATTCCATCGTGTGTTCCACACCACGCGAGACGATAAAATCTCAATGTATTTCGCTGACCGGCTTAAAAAACTAAGAATATCATAAATAATGGCATCAAACAATAAGGTTTTTGTGTATTTCTGCCCGTCGGTTACGCGTCGATGTCCATAGGGGAGAACCGTGCGATGCGAAGTTGAAGCAAGCGCGGTCACAATGTACAAACTAGTAGCGATGAAAACCCGCATTACGTGCAAATTTCCTGAATTTGGGACTGTAAGGTCCCGAACATCTGTACGATACGCCCTGGCGGTGGCAGGTGAGTTTGCATGGTGAGATGAGATCGGTGGCGGGCGGACGGGTAAAGGGGAAGTCCAGTGGGGAATGGGGAAATCGTGGGGAGCAAAAATCGCGGAAAGCAGAGGCCAGAGAAGGCTGGGGGAAGAAGATTCTGGGGAGAGAGGTGACGGTGAGGGAATTTGTCCGGTGGAAATGACGTGTGATGCGGAGGTGCCTGCCGGGCCTTTTGATACTTCCGAGTCGCAGGGTGTTGTGCGCGATGAGCGGCAATTGCAGCATGTGCGCAGGTTTAACTTCAGCTGTTTGACACCGCAGGTTGATACATCGAAATATGTTACAATTCAGTAATAATATAAAGCATAGTACAATACAGTCACATCTTATTACTGCTATCAAGAAACTGCTCAAATCGCAAAACGTTATCCTGACGTCTATCCATACTTTTCCTACTTTTTAGACCTGGGTTTCGGTGGGCGTTTAACAGATTTGGGTGGTGGACGTTTAGAAGACTTGGGTGGGGCCTTGGGAGGAGCCTTGGGGGGAGCCTTGGGAGGAGCCTTGGGAGGAGCCTTGGGAGGAGCCTTGGGGGGACCCGTGGATGGGGCCTTGGGGGGACCCGTGGATGGGGCCTTGGGGGGCGCGGGCCCGGCAGGTGGAATGTCACATCTGTCCTCATCGCTTCCATCTGTAACACAGCAACACCAGAGGACACACAAACAGACTAAAGATGCCAGTCTTGTGCAAATGCCCTAGCATGGCACCACCTGAATCATTCCAGAAGCGAAAGCCGCAAGGCATGCATGATAAGAGCACAGTAATCACCTTTGCAGTCAGGCACTTTGTTGCACCAATTGATCCTCAAAGCGCATTGTAACTGGTCCCGGCACTTGCGATACCCTCTGGTGCAATTCCACTTCTCACACCCCACCTCGTCACTACCATCTGTGGGATGTGGGAGACAAGCAAAGGAGAAGAGGTTCACAGGCGAATCGTTGCTAGCAGAGGCCAGAAGAACGGAGAAACAGAGGATTGGACAACCAGAATGCCTGAGAATATAAAAAAGGCAGCGGAGTGCCTGAGAATTGCACAGCTAGGATGTTTCAGAATGCATAGAAACTAACCTTTGCAGTCGGCAACACCGTTGCAGCGAAGCACATCGTCAACACACTGCACTTTGTCGCTGCACTTGGAGAACCCCTTGGGGCAGACGTACGACTTGCAGAACGCGGGATCCTCGTCCGCTGGCTTTCCGCCAGCTGTCTTCGCGGGGCAATCGGCCACCGCGTTGCAGAGGGTTCCGTTTGGCTTGCACATGTTGAGTCCCGGGCAGCGGATGTTGTTTCTCGGGCAGGTGAAATTCGAGCAGAACTTGGGGTTTTCGTCCAGTGAGTCCGGGCAGTCGGTTTTTCCATCGCAGAATTGTCCGGGCAGGATGCAAACGCTTGGGGCATCTGGACAGAGAATCTGAAACACCAGCACAAACCCAAAGCACAAATTAGACATCGAATAAAGAACCAGTCTGCGAACCTCGCAGCACTCACGTGCCTCGCCCCTTTTCCTCCTGACACCCTACTCCCTCCTTCCTCCGTCGCAATCAGTCTCGAATGACCTCCAATGCAAGAATTTAGTCCAATAACCTCCCTCCACCCAGCACTCACGTGAGTGGCGTTGAGGGCGCCGCAGTCCATGTCGAAATTGCAGAGCCAGGGCCACTCGTCGCTACCGTCCGCGCAGTTCTTCACCCCGTCGCAGTAGTCGCCCTTGGCGAAGCATCCCTTCTTGCTGGGGCACTGCGCGAAAGCAGGCGAAAGAGTAAATGAGACCGAGAGTTTGTCTTTCTCAAGGATTCGCAGAAGTAAAAAAGAAAGCAGGCGAACTAGCAAGGAGAACGTGCTTGTGTCATTTTTGCGTAGCGGGTTTGATTATGCTGGGTGGTGATGGTAATGGTAATGGTGATGGTGATGGTGATGGTGTGGTGATGGTAATGGTGATGGTGATGGTGATGGTGATGGTAATGGTGATGGTGATGGTGATGGTGATGGTGATGGTGATGGTGATGGTGATGGTGATGGTGATGGTGACGGTGATGGTGATGGCGGGTTCTTGCTCACCTCGTTGGAACCGGGGCAAGGGTCGCCGGCGATCTGCAGACAGAGACGTGCAAGTAAACGGGAGAAACGGGAGAAACGGGATAAAACGGGAGGAGACGGGGAGAGAGACGAGGGGATTAGCTGGCTCGGCATTGTCGAGAGAGAGGAAAGACCCGACAAATACCCGCTGCATTGCCTTTTTCACTCCTCCAAATATTAGAGCATGGCTGCAGCCCGACAATCTCAACTACCCCACACCTTAGCATGGTTATCGCAGCGGGCATAGTGCAAGCCCCGATCTGTCGGTCTACCCAGCTGGTTGGCAAACTGGAGCTGTTTTCTGTTTCCCAGGTTTGATCATTATCACACTTTGACAGTCCAGTAGGCGCTACGATGGCACGCTCGCTAATGGCGTCCGCGATTCACGCCTCGGGAACCCTGTGCGACAGAGCGTCTATCGCAGTACCTGCGAGCTTGTTGTTGCGAAGAGTGTTGCGAAAAGTAACGCCCCTGCGACAAGCTTTAGCGACATGGGCGTTGGGAGCCCAGACGCGCGCGCCATGCCTTAGCCGACGAGGAGAAGATTCTAATATCCGTCGCTTGTGCGACACCACATGCAGAAGCGTTGTGACGTTGGAAGTGTCGAAAGACGTTGACAAAAAAAAATAGACACTAGATAATCGGACGCTTCAGTAATTCGTTTGTAGGTCGAAGTAGAAATAGTGTTCGTTTCGGTATGCGGATGGACAAGTGATGTGTCTGTCTCGCTAGTGCGGCACGAAAACGACGGCAATTCCAGTGATCACTTGGATCGAAAACAGTCTGGCTTTTCTCCAGGGCAGGAGCCTCATGACTACACCCTCTTTCTCGCCAGACTGACATTGGCCATATTGATAGACCGGCTGTACTGACATCAATGCGTCCAGAATGGTCCCAGAACATACCATATAAGCACATTTGCCGCACTCAACCGTAAGCAAACGCAAGTTTTCTTCCATAAAACGTTGTGTACCGTTCCTCTAGAGTGCATTTGCCCGCCACCTACCTGGCGTTCGGTTGCAAGCACCAAATCGCTAGGGTCCAAGCAACAGTCCGCTAGGGTCCAAGCAACAGTACGCACTGTTGCCAGTGCTTCCCATTGTCAGTCTGGCGAGAAAGAGGGTGTATAATTTCTTGACAAGCGTTGTCGTGAGTGTGACGAGGGGGGCCAAGTGTTTTTCCGGGGAAGGCGTTCTATTGGGGCAGGTGGGATGAGAGTGACTCACGCAGTCGGCGTGTTGAGACTCAGGTGCGACTCGTCTCATCCAGGTGGGTTTCAGGGGATACCAGCTCCAGCAAGACCGGCAGGGCGACGGTGGCGAGTTTGGTTACTAGAAGTATACGATACCTGAGCTCTTCCCGAAAGTTCCGCAAGTGTCGCCGCAAATGCTGGCCAGAATCACGAGTCGTCACATAAACTCACACTGCACGAAATTATAACTCTGATGTCCGCATTACATACATGTAAGGAGCTTTAATATTCTGTTTCTATCTTCAGATTCATCCTCCCGGTCGGACTAGACTAGACATACAAATGAATTGCTCAAAATTCCTCAATGGCAAACACAATAATTATACAGTTTATGCATGGGCACGCCCCCAGATTGAAACAAGTTAATGTTTTCTGTCAGAATGGCACACCCCCCCACCCACCCCAAGCTGCTGGGCCACAAACTAGCCCAGAGTAAGAATCCACCATTACAAAACAACAAAAACTCGTGCTAGAGTCACACCGAAAGATGCCAATGTTGCATGTTCCAATCCTGCTGCATGAATCAGCCCAGCCATGGGTCACCACTGCCATCCCCTGAACCATCACCTCCACCTGTGCTATCACCTGAACCATCACCTGAAGAGTCACCTGAACCGTCCGTGCTGCCATCAGATCCATCGTTTATCTGATCCGTCGTGTCCTTCCCATTGAGAATATTCGATTCCTTCACAATCCGCATGTAAGTCTTCCGCCTCAGCGACACGTCACCCTCCCCCCCTTCCAGAAGAGTCATCGACGCCAAATACGCCTGGTAAGCCTCGTCCCGATCCGACTTGGTTTGGTCGAGCCACTTCTTGGTTCGGGCAACATTCTTCTGCCGAAGCTGCACCTTCTCCATCTCCCCCGTAGCCAGAAACTTCCGAATCTCCTGATTCAGCCGCGAAATATCCCCCGTAAGATTATCATACCGCTCGCTCATCTTATTCAGCAGTGCCTCAGCATCCAGAGTATCATTCATCAACCCTTCCAGCTTAAATACCGACTTGTCCCAAAAGCTCTTCGCCGCCCGCGCTCGGTCCAGCACCACAGAAGCCTTTTCCGACTTCTTAACCCGGTTCACCTGTCGCTGGTTTTGTGCAAACGACATCGCATCCTGCTTCTTCTGCTTCTGCATCGCGGCCCGTTCCGCCGCCGAAGTCAGTCTCTCCGCCGCGGCACCTGACGCCTTCACGCTTCCCGCGTTCTGCGCCTTGCTAATCGCTTTCTTCAGCTTCTCCCGGAGCCTATCCGCGGTGTCTTTTGCGCTCTCATACTCCTTCTCCTTGTTGTTTGCGTCCGTCTTGGCAGCGGCAGCAGCAGCCTGTTTCGTAGCAACGTCCGCTCCGGCCTTCTTAGCAGCGTCTTTCTTCGCCTTAGCCGTAGCCCCAACAGCGGTGTTAGCCACTCTCTGAAGCCGGTCCGCTTCGGTCCCAGCAGCGTTGGCGTCTGCCTGAAGCTGCCTCGCCTTGGCATCTGCAGCATCAGCAGCTGCTTTGGCCTTGTCCTGGGCAATCAGTGCTGCCTGGTACTGAGCGGTGAGCTGTTGCACGGTCGAACCAGCTCCTGAAGACCCAGTGCTGCCAGTGTTGCCGGTGTTTCCGGTGCTGCTGCTGCTGCCAGTGCTGCTGCTGCTGCCGGTGCTGCCCTTAGTGCCAGTGCTGCCTGTGCTGCCTTTGGTGCCGGTGCTGCTGCTGCTCCCTGTGCTTCCTGTGCTGCCAGTGCTAGCCTTGGTGCCAGTGCTGCTGCTGCTACCAGTGCTGCCAGTGCTCCCGGTGCTAGCCTTAGTACCAGTGCTGCTGCTGCTCCCGGTGGTGCCAGTGCTGCCGGTGCTAGCCTTAGTTCCAGTGCTGCTGCTGCTGCCGGTAGTGCCAGTGCTCCCAGTGCTAGCCTTCGTGCCGGTGCTGCTGCTGCTACCAGTCGTGCCGGTAGTGCCAGTGCTGCCGGTACTAGCCTTGGTACCAGTGCTGCTGCTGCTGCCAGTGCTGCCGGTTGTACCAGTGTTACTGGTGCTGCCCGTGCTGCCCGTTGTACCCGTGCTGCCCGTGCTGACGGGATCCGGGAAACCGCAGTCCACCTCATCGCTCCCATCTGGTGAGACGGAAAGGGAACGAGGAGAAGTGGGTTAGCAAGAGAAGGTTGGATGAGCGGGAACGGTGTAAGGCAGTGGGAAAGTGGGAAGGAACGTGAAGGGAACGTGGGAACGAGGGTTAGCGAGGGATACGACAGGACGGTGAGACGAAGAGAGGTTGATGAACGAGAACGGCGATGGAAGGGAAAACTAGGAGGAGAGGGGAGGAGGGGGAAGGAGGGAGGGTGGAGAGCGGGAGGCGGGTACGAGGAGGGCAAGAAAAGGACGAGAAGGGAACGCACCGAGAGAAGGGAAGGGAAGGGAAGGGAAGGGCAGTCCTTCTTGCCGTCGCAGAAGACGTCAACGAGCACGCACTGCAGCTCATCGCTGCACTTCTGGAACCCGTCGAGGCACGAGTACGCAGCGCAGAAGAGAGAGCACGAGCTAGGCAGAAAGGGCACGTACCGAGGCAGTCCTTCTTGCCGTCGCAGAAAGCGTCGACCAGCACGCACTGCAGCTCGTCGCTGCACTTCTGGAACCCGTCCAGGCACGAGTACGCGGCGCAGTACTTGGGGTCCTCGTCGGGCGCGTACAGCACGCCGGTGCTCGCGTTCTTGATCTTCGGGCAGTTGGCCACGCCGTCGCACATGTACCCCTTGGTGCACGCGGCCGTGGCGGTGCACTTGACCTGGTCCTCGTTGCAGTTGGAGCTGCGGTAGTCGAGGCAGAAACCCGGGGACTCGTCGATGGCGCCCGGGCACTGCATGATGCCGTCGCAGACTTGAGTCGGCTTCACGCAGTAGTCCGTGCCCACGCACTCCACCTGAGTGGAGAGGAAGAGAGCGGATACGGGACGGGGGAAACGGGGCCGGGGGAAAGGGAACGGGGAAGCAGGGCGGGGGAGGGAGTAGGGTGTGGAGAATTTGAATGGATTGGTAGTCGAGGCAGAAACCCGGGGACTCGTCGATGGCGCCCGGGCACTGCATGATGCCGTCGCACACCTGAGTTGGCTTCACGCAATAATCCGTTCCCACGCACTCAACCTGCGGGGGAAAGGGGGAAGGAGCGGGGGGGAGGGGCGGGGGAAGGGAAGGGGGAAAGGGAAGTCGAGTTGGGTGGTCAGGAGTGGAAACGAGTCGATTGCACGCTTGCAGGGGCTTCAGACAGTACTCGGTGCCCACGCGAGGGGGAACGGGGGAGGGACGGGGACGGGACGGGGAAGGGTCAAGGAAGGGTCGGGGAAGGGTCGGGGAAGGTTCGAGGAAGGGTCGGGGAAGGGTCGGGGAAGGTTCGGGGAGGGTCGGTGAAGGGTCGGGATGTTCGGCGAAGGGACACGAGTCGGGAGCAAGTGGCGAACGCGGGACACACGGTGATGCCGGGGAGGGTGCGGCGAGCTAGGCGGATGCGGCGGGTGTGGCGCGCGTGGCGTGTGTGGCGCGGTTGAGAGGGGTGCGGCGGGTTGACGTACGGTGGTGTCGGGGTCGGAGCAGTCGAGCGGGTTGCAGTACCACGCGGCGTCGTCGCTCTTGTCCTTGCAGTTGGCCGTCTTGTCGCACAGCTTGTCCGGATCCACGCACTGCCCGAGACCGGGACACTCCGTCTGGTGTGACAATAACGGGGGGAACGTGTGACAGAAAGGGGAGGTGAGTCGGGGACTATGGATGAAGCTATTGCGGATTGGGGGACATGGGCGAGGTGGGAGGAGTGCGGGGGGCGGAGCTAGTATTGTGGGACATCGGCGATGCAGATAGAGAGGTTCGCCGGCAGAAGCGGGGCAGGGAACAGGGGAGCAAGACATGAGGGCAGGCGGGGAATTGGAGGGCGAAAAACACGGCGAAGGACGAAAAAGGGAGAGTGGTGGCAGTAGATCGAGACTGGGAAAGAGGAGTGGCGAGGAAACGATGGAAGGTGGGGAAGGGGAAGGGGGAGGGGGAGGGGGAGGGGGGATGCGGAGGTGGGGAGGTGGGTGGGTGGGGGAAGCATAGTGCAAGTAGGGAGGAAACGTACCAGGTCCCCGCAGTCCATTTGGGCCGCAACCTGCGGACAAAAGGGGACGGGGAAAGGGGGAGCACGGAGGGGAGGGGGAACACGGGAAGAGCACGGGAAAGGGAGGGCACAGAGGCGGGGAGAGGGGGGATGGTGGGGAGAAGAGAGCAGAGACAGGAGACGGGATGTTAGACATGGCAGGTAATCAATTAGAACTTGTAAATTGAGTATGGATGAGAGGTTCAAGAGCGGGTGGAGAGAAGTAGATGCGGAGGGGGGGGGGAGCAGCGGTGAAGACGAGGGGCGTGAACTATCGCCGTGCGTAATAGACGGTGGTACGACGGTACGATGGTACGAGAGTCGATAATAAAAAAAAACAGCATATATGACAGCTTGAAGGCTACGCAGTGAAGGAAACGAGCGGATAAACGGCGGGAAGCAGGAAGCGGCGCGCGGAGACCTTACGCGAACGACCGTGTAACGGCTCTGCGTGCGCTACTCCGTAAGATTGCGTGGTTATTAAGGCGCTAATCTGACAGACTGCGCGGTGTGGATTCGACAGTGCGTTTGTAATTGCGAGTGAGCAGTCTGCTGCGGTGCGCGCTGTTCGGCGCAACGAACAGAATGCCGGGCGGGGCAGGCCGTACCATGGTGGTTGTGTGTGAGAGGAAGGAGAGAAGCAGCGCTGCGACGCAAAAAGCGTGCGCGGCGTGCCGTTGATGCCAGCTAGCCCTCGCCATCGGACGGCTCTCGTCGACCAATACAGACCACACTCGAGGTGTTTAGTGCACGCCTACGGAAGATGCGGGTCTGTCTCTAATCTAACTAGATTTATAAAACTGAAAATAACGCGTGCACGCTGATTACTACTTTGTTCTCGCTACTTGCGCGCTTCGATGTGCGCGAACTAGCCTTGTATCACCCACGGAAATCTATGAATGGCACTGAAAAGGAGAATGAACGACACCAAGGAGAGTGGAGTACAGTTGGAGGACAAGTGCAGGCGGCTGCAACTCAGTGCTGCTGGTGAGAGAAAGGCGGAAGGGAACGGACGGATGGAACAGAACGCGGAAACAGAATGCCCTAGTAGAATGCGGAGGGAGCAAAATTGCCAGGCAGTGTGATGTGAAGCGAAGGGGGGTAGGCGGTAGGGGAAATGGAAGGGCTTGACGTGTGTTTCTTCCACAAGACTTTCATTTCGTCCCCACGAAGGGAGCGGTATGGTTGATCTGGCATGGTCTGAAATCGAAACCCCTCCCCACCTGTCAGCCCTTCTGATACAGTACAGTACTGTTGTGCACTCGCGACTCGACAGGATGGCTGGCATATCACCTGAAACCCTGCCCCACTTCGCGAAAACGACACCGAGTTTGGACAGCCATTGACAGAACAATGCCATCTGCATGTCTTGATTTGAGCTGCACAGTGACAGTTCTCCAGGTGCGACGCGGAACCAGTTGCCCAGTCTCGGTTCCAGGTTAGGGTTACCGAAGCGCATGCTACCAACCAGATGACAGTTACACAACCGATGGTAGGGTGACAGCGTATATCGAGATTGATACGAGCCGGTATTTTTAGAAAGAACGACTACGATTAGCGAAATAGAGGAAGAGAATCCTATTGAATCTAGGGTTATCCTATTGTTTCTAGAGATATCATCATACTTCCATTCAGAAACTGAGAAACCAGACACGGTAGCACCAGACTAAAATATTAGTCTATATTAATAAATGAAACAAAATTACAAAATTTCTCATTATGAAGTTCCTGTTGTCAGCCCCCAACAACCACCTTCCTGTTCCTAATGTTACCCTTCATTTCGTCACCACCACTCTCAACAACACCTTCAGTAAAAGAAAATCTGAATGCTGCATTGTCCCCGTCACCAACCCCACTGCCAGCTGATGGAACACTTCTTTTCATTAATCCAGCACTGGTTGCACTGCTTGTATCTGAAGACCCACCCTCGCTTGTGCCACTTCCTGAATCAGTAAAATTACCATCACCACCACCATCACTTCCACCATCACCACCACCACTATCCCCACCAGTGCCACCGCCCTTCTTGGCTCCTCCTTTCCTCCCCCCTTTACCACCCTCACCCCCCTCGGTCTCGTCCGGAACAACCATCTTTCCATCCTCTGTATACTCAAAGCCCGAATCCTCCCCCTCCCCCTCCCCCTCCCCACCCCCATCACGATGCCGCTTCGAACCACCACCAGCAGCACCAGCACCAGTACAACCACCACCAGCACCAGCACCAGTACAACCCCCACCACCACCAGCACCAGTACGACCCCCACCACCAGCAACAGTAGCACCAGAGGAAAGGGTTCCGCGGGTGGGCTTGAGCAGGGGTGCAGAGAGGGCCCGGCGCGCCTGCGAGATCGAGCCCTGCAGGGAGGGGAAAGGGGGGAGCGGAGAGAGGGGAGGGACTGTGAAAATAACCAAGGAGAAAAGGTGGACGGAGAACAGAACTGCCCTTCTGTCTTATTGCCCAGAACACAGGAGGAAGAGGTCCCGGGGAAAGAGGGGAGAGGAGAGGGGATAGGGGAGAAGGCCGAGGGAAGAAGCGAGAGGGGAGAGGGGAGAGCGGAGAGGGGAGAGGGGAAAGGGGAACGGGAAAAAGGGGGAGAGACAGAATGGGGCAGCAAGGCGGAAGGAGAAACAGCGGAAGGAGAAAAAGAGGAAGCGAAAAAAGCAGGACTGCACTGGGAGAGATGGTCCCACATGCCACACACCATGCCATCAGATGCAATTGAAGAACCCACACCCACAACACCATATCCCACACCCCATGCCACACCCCATCCCACACCCCATGCCAGACCCCATGCCACACACACCCCATGCCACATCCCATCCCACACGCCATGCCACACCCCATGCCCACACCCCATGCCACACCCCATGCCCCATCCCATGCCCCATACCATGCTCCACCCAATGCCACGTCAGCACACCTGGACGAGAGCGTGTTCGACCACGCAGACTTCTTCGACCCGTCCTGGCGAGACGCTGACTTGGCGGCGCGTGATTTGCTGCCGAACACGCTGCGCTCGTCCTCGTCAGCATCGCTGTAATCCTCGTCATCGCTGAAATCGCCGTCCGCTACACTCTCTTGCGCACCTGCGAGGACGAAAGGGGAGGGGGGAGAGGGGAGTGGTGGCGGGATTTGAATGGGTGGGGGTGACCGCAACCAGGCAGCAGGCGGCAGCAGGGTGAAGGCAGGCAGGCAGCAGGCAGCAGGGTGAAGGCAGGCAGGCAGCAGGGTGAAGGCAGGCAGGCAGGCAGCAGGCAGCAGGCAGCAGCGCTTGAGCATTCCACTCCATATCATACCTTGGCACATGTGTGGCATGGCCACACCGTCTCACCAGCCGCTGCACTATCTTGAGCACCTGCGAGGAGGAAAGGGAGGGGGGGGGGGGGGGGAGGGAGTGGTGGCGGGATTTGAATGGGTGGGGGTGACGGCAACCAGGCAGCAGGCGGCAGGCAGGCAGCAGGCAGCAGGGTGAAGCGCGGCCCCCGCGGGCCCTTCGACCGTCCCGTAGCGCGGCCCCCACGGGCCTTAGTTCATCCCGTAGCCTGGCCCCCCCCGTGGGCGCTCCCGTTCGTCCTTAGCGCGCCCCCCCGCGGGCGCTCCCGTTCGTCCTTAGCGCGGCCCCCCGCGGGCCCTTCGTCCGTCCCGTAGCGCGGCCCCCACGGGCCTTAGTTCATCCCGTAGCGCGCCCCCCCCCCCCCCCCCCCGCGGGCGCTCTCGTTCGTCCTTAGCGCGGCCCCCGCGGGCGCTCCCATCCGTCCTTAGCGCGGCCCCCGCGTGCGCTCTCGTTCGTCCCGTAGCGGGGCCCCCGCGGGCCCTTACGTGCGTCCCATCGTACGCCCTCCCTCCCCCACCCCCCCCCCCCCCCCCCGCCCCCCCCCCCCGCGGGCCCCTCGTTCGTCCCGAAGCGTGCCCGTAACCCTAATGTTTCGCGCGACCCAGCAGCGCTTGAGCATTCCATTCGATATCATACCTTGGCCTTGAACCGGGTTGCAACGATCTCATTGGTGGAGAGCAAAGCAGTCATGATGGGCGGCAGATGAGCCTCCAGGTCAGCAGCTTCCAGGCGCTAGCACCTTCACCAGGCCCAGACACGCCTTGAGCACGTCGCGGTGCGGCGAGCGGAGGAGGAGGAGCAGCGAGGGGAGGAGCGAGGGGAGGAGCAGCGAGGGGAGGAGCGAGGGCACGAGGTGGAGGAGCGAGGAGGAGAAGTGGAAGATGAGGCGAGCGAGGGCCATGACTGCTGCGCTCTGCCCGTGCGGGGTGCCGCTGGCCAACCCTGCCATCACCTGCAAGGCAGCAGCTGCTTGGCACTATCGAACCCGCCAAAGTACAGACTCCTATGCACGATAATCCCATGAACGGACACAGGAAATCCGCGATATAAGCCCCTGATCCCCTCCGCCCGCCAGAGCGCCGCTATAACGGATCGCATGCCTGCAAACTGCCTGCGCGTGCCTATACGGGTGGCCAGGCGCGTGCGCGCGACGTCTAGAGGGTAGGTACGTGACTAGGAGGCTAGAGGCTCGTGGCAGGACGTTTCCTGCTGCGATTCGCGTGGCGGAAGGGTCTGTGAGACGGGGCGGAATGGGAGAGAAGGCAGGGTGGAAGACAAGGGGACGGAGAGGGCACGGAAGCGGGAACAGAGGGGTGAACAGATAGGGTGGGGGTTCAGGGAGGAAGTAGCGCATAGTGATGCGAAGTTGAGCGCAGGCGACAAGTAACACTGGTTACCACAAATCTGACATTGTGCTTAAGCGTCTGCTTCTAAGCAACCGCAAGAACGAAAAGGGAAAGAAAAGTTGGCGAAAGATCGAGCATCGCTCTCATATACGATCATTGAACGTCAGGTTGTGATTGAGACGTGGCATCGCAGGAATTATGTGGAAATTCATATGTGAAAAAACATTTGGAAAAGTAACTGCACCTGCAGTAGCGCTGCACACGGTGACCCGTATTATACAGAGCTATCGCCGCACCTACCGTATTATACAGAGCTATCGGTGAGAAAACAGTCCTTATGGTGGAGCCGGAGTGGGAGTACGGAACAAAAATGAAAGGATTTGAGCAATGCTACTCAGGAACTGACCAAAGAAATGGTAAAACTTGTGTCTAGTCTAGGTATGTCCACCTCTAATACTCCAGCGGTTCTGACGCTGCCTTCACGCTGAGATTTACGTGAAGTTGACAACGCCTGTGTGAAGCTGAATTTCCGCTCTGTTCGTGTGTTAGGGGAGATTTCGCTAAAACTAAGATTTTGTTAGTAGGGAGCGACAGGTATTCGCGAAGACTAACGAAACTACGTAATTACAATCTAGGCACCAAACCCTTCCAACACCAAATTACCATGCGGAAAACAGAGAGAACCGTACTGACAGATCGGTTGGCGGGGAATCAAAACCGCCTGCATGGACTTGATTTGCTGGCATTCGTTGCACTGACCTGCCTGAACATTCTTACAGAAACTCGACAGGGGAAGGGGTACACGGTGGCTTAGAACGCTTCCACGCGGTTAAAAGCGATTAGAAAGTTTCACCGTTTTGCACCGCGACGAAACATCATCAACCGCTCAAAGCGAACCAGTCCAGCTTTCTTCCCAACATTTGTGAATTCCAAGCTCTTAGAATTACGCAGGTCTGTGTGTGCGGGCCTGGTGCTTCAACTCCCCCGCAACAGCGTCACCTTTGTGCTATGAACTATGTTGCTCCATTGAGTGTTGCAAGTGTTGTTCAAGTGTTGCTGCATAGAGTAAGAACTGTGTTGTTCAAGTGTTGAAATGGAGTGTTTGTAATAATTTCAAACTGGCATCACTAAAGATACATAGCATGCAGGACTATTAAACTATCAAAACATAAAAAACTCCTAAGCTTCAAGAGCCATTACTCCACGCAGCTTGACTTGTACGTCTTCTTGACCCCTCTTGGCCGCTAGGAGCAAGCTCCTAGCGTTACACCCGGACACCGCGTTGAGGTGGAGGTCATTCGTCCGGGACCCTGTTGGAAAAAGAGGGCAGAAAGTTAGTATTAAACTGCCATCCGGCAGGAACACCTCAAACTTCAAGTTGCTTGATGCCAGGAAGAAGCCACCTTCCGCAGATTGTTGCCTCAGGAGCAGCCGAAGAAGGTCGGTGCAGGTGGAGGGTCCATACGTTCGGCCTGTCAGCCGTTCGTTCCGTCGCCGCGGGATCTACTGTTTGGTCGGCCAGTCATTTCGCACGTCGCCAGGTCGCGGGATCTAAACATTCGTCTGTCAGTTCGCACGTCGCCAGGTCGCGGGATCTAAACGTTCGTCTGTCAGTTCGCACGTCGCCAGGTCGCGGGATCTAAACGTTCGTCTGTCAGTTCGCACGTCGCCGGGTCGCGGGATCTAGCGTTCGGTTCGTTCGTGCGTCGCCGGATCTAACTCGCCTAACGTTCAGTCTGTCGGTTCCGCAGCTGCTGGTCTTCAGCGTGTCCTGGGGGTTGGAAAAAAGAGAGAAGAGAAGGTGATACGATCGCAGCAGCAGAACAAAACAAAACAAAGCAAAGAAAAGCAAAACAAAACAATGAAACAAGCAGAAACAATTGCAGAAACAAAAACAGAAACATAAGTACGATTGAAATCTTACACCTCCTTGTCGAAGAAGGCGCCTTCTCCCCTGGGCGTTCATCCTCACGTGATCTAAGGGGGGAGGAGAAAAAACAGAGGAGAAAGGGAGGGTGATACGCCGCGGCTCCATGCTAAACCTGCAGCGCAGAGGAAGAAACCAAAGGGTAAGTTAGTAAAAAAAAACAGAACAAAAAAAGAACAACAACAAAGACAGAAACAACAACAAAAAACTGAAAGCAAAGGAGGAAGGGAGGTCACCGTTACTACCTTATAAGCGGAGTAGATCTGACCGTCCTCCTCCCGTGATCTAAGGGGGGAGAGGAAGAAACAGAGGAGAAGGGAGGGTGATACACCGCGGCTCCATGCTAAACCTGCAGCGCAGAGGAAGCAACCAAAGGGTAAGTTAGTCAAAACAAGAAAGAAAGAAAAAAAGAACAACAACAATACAGAAACGACAACAAAAGCTGAAAGCAAAGGAGAAAGGGAGCTCACCGTTACTACCGTATAAACGGAGTAGATCTGACCGTCCTCCTCCCGTGATCTAAGGGGGGAGAGGAAGAAACAGAGGAGAAAGGGAGGGTGATACGCCGCGGCTCCATGCTAAACCTGCAGCGCAGAGGAAGCAACCAAAGGGTAAGTTAGAAAGAACAAGAAAAAGAAAAAGAAAAAGAACAACAACAAAAACAGAAACAACAACAAAAGCTGAAAGCAAAGGATAAATGGAGCTCACCGTTACTACCTTATGAGCGGAGTAGATCTGACCGTCCTCCTCCCGTGATCTAAGGGGGGAGAGGAAGAAACAGATGAGAAAGGGAGGGTGATAGCTTCCTCCGCGGATCCATGCTAAACCTGCAGCGCAGAGGAAGAAACCAAAGGGTAAGTTAGTAAAAAAAGAAAAGAAAATAAAGAACAACAGCAAAGACTGAAATAACAATAAAGACTGAAAGCAAAGGCGGAAGGAAGCTCACCGTGGAGAAGATCGGACCGTGGTGCTCCTCCTCCCGTGATCTGAGGGGGGAGAAAAACGAATAGAGGAGATAGGGTCCGCGGCTCCTTGTGTACCTGAAACGCACGAGTGAAAAGCGCCTCTTCTGGTCTTCACGAGCGCTCGTTCTTGAATGCCTGAAAGGCACAAGGGAAACTCCTCGGCAGGAACTCCTCAAGCTTGATCTTGTGTGCCTGAAACGCACAACTTGAAAACGCCTCGCTTGATCTTGTGTGCCTGAAACGCACAACTTGAAACCGCCTCTTTAGTCTTCACGCGCGCGCGTTCTTGAGTACCCTGAAAGGCACGATGGAAACGCCTCTTGTTGTGCTCCTTCAGCCGTGGAGAGGCGCTGTAGTCCCCAAGTCTTCAAGTCTTCCACGTTGAGCAGGCCGTCGAAGCAGTCTTCAGGTCTTCGAATTGAAGCTCACAACTCAACCCAATATGAAGCTGCAGCGAGGGACAACTTGCAGCGAGGCTTGGAATGATGGAATCACCGCTCGAATCGCGTGGCTGGAATCGCGTGGCATGACAAGCTGACACAGGTGCTGGGCTGAGGTTTGCGAAGCGTAGAGGCTGAACCAAGGGTGGAGATGCTGCCGTAAAACGTGAGCGGTTGAGATGAAAACTGACGCTGTTCACTGTAGGTCATGAAAATCCAGAAGCGCCAAACTTAGGTGAAGAAGAACAGAACAGAAGAGTCAGAATCGTGGTGGCAGGGAGGGAAGGGAACAGTACGCACATCCCCCATCGTGGCTGAAGCGCCAAAATTCGGGTCAATGCAGAACAGTTGTGGCAGGTAGGAACAGTGCAGTAATCCTCCATTGTGGCTGTTTCTGTGTGATTGCAGGTTTGTGGGTAACACTTTTGTTGTTATTCTGGTTCGGTTACGTTCAACTTCAAATGAGTCATTTGATCGGGAGTGTGGAGTGGATATTCGAAGTGCTAGGCATGTTACGCTTGCTTGACGTGTTAGTAGTTCATAGTCTAGCACCTTGCGTGAGGTGCGGGACGGCATCAATGCAAAAAAAGAGAATTCATTGGTTGCGATCAATTTTGCTCCTGTCAAATCGGTTTCTGGGCAGGTGCAAGGAAGGGGTTGGGATGGAGAAAATTGCGAGGCCCAATCAAAAGCCGAGAGGGGAAGGGAAGGAAATCGAGGGAAACAATCCGGGCAGAAAGAACTCGCAACGGAACCGCAATGGGGATGGTGTTTCGGTTGGGTGGTACACCACCACCAGCTCAGATCTAGGTTTTCCAATTTGCCACGCCTGCTCAGATATGCCATTTTCGATTTCCACTTCTCTCGTAGTATCGCCATATGTCGTAGTGGCGTTGCGCCTTAGCGAGTAGTAGCGCGGCGAATGGTAGTAAGGACCTGCGACTCGACTGACTTTTTATTTCGTATAACAAGCCATCGCGAAGCAGCTCTATTCTTGATGGACTCCGCACTCGTTAAGCGGTCCAATACGTTCGTAGCGCAATCTACAGCGCGTAGCAAACTGCGTGCTTCCCTTCCCACCCGCTTTCGCCCTCTTCTCCCCGCCTCCTTTCGCCGACGCACTCTCTTTTCGCCGACGCTTCGCCGACGCTCTCACCTTTCGCCATATTGCCGGGCAGCTAGGGTTTGGGGATGCTCTCAGCACCTTCACGGCAGGAGAGGTCTTTTGAGTTGGACCTCGCCCTTGCACTCCCACTTGCCCCCAGCTCATCGCTGAGCATCCCTAATCACCCCTCGTCCTGAATTTCTTGACATTTGCATTGCGCCCATCCCTCATTCCTCCCGCGGTCACCGCTCATCGCTATATCGCTTTCCAGTCGTTTACCCTTCGTTGTTCATCCCGCCATTTGCTCCCCCTACATTCATTCAATACTTACCTTTCATTTCATGCTCGCGCACCCTGCATCCTCCTCGCTTACCTCACATTCCCCGTCGTTCGCCCCCTATTTCCCTGTCGCTCACTCTTCAGTTCCCCCCGTCGCTCACCCCTCAGTACCTCACATTCCCCGTCTCTCTCCCCCTCGTTTCCCCCCTTCGCTCACCTCTCATTTCCCTGCTTTACGCACCTCTCATTTCCCCGCTTTCACTCACCCTTTGTTTCTCCCATTTGCTCACCCTCATTTCTCCGCTGTCGCTCATCCCCCATTTCCCCCTTTTCGCTCACCAACCATTTCCCCCTTTTCGCTCACCAACCATTTCCCCCTTTTCGCTCACCAACCATTTCCCCCCCATCATTCACCCCTCATTCCCTCCCGTCACTCACCCCTCATTTCCCCCCGTTGCTCGCCGACTTCGCGCACCCCTCGTTCCCCTCTTCCGCTCACGCCTCATTCCTTCCGCTTATCCATCATTCCGCCCCTCGTTGCTCACCCCTCTTTCCCCCCGATCTGTTACCTCGCATTTTCCACCGTCCCTCACCCGCCATTCCCCATCATCACCCACCCATCCCAACTTACCAGCTCCCTATGCGTTTCTACTTTCCACTCCCACTCTCTGACCTCCTGCTGTCCTCAGCCACTGTTCTCCCACCCCTCGCCCCTTCCCCACTCTCTTCCTTCTCACTTCCCCCGGTTCTGTTCACGTATCCCATCCCATCCCATCCCATCCCATCCCATCCCATCCCATCCCATCCCATCCCATCCCATCGCATCGCATCGCATCGCATCCCATCCCATCCCATCCCATCCCATCCCATCCCATCCCATCCCATCCCATCCCATCCCATCCCATCCCATCCCATCCCGTCCCATCCCATCCCACGTCCCCGCGCCCATCTCACTTCCCTCCATCCGCTCCCCTTCATACACCCGTTCTCTCCCTTCCTTTCAGCGGCCTCGCGCGATCTGTTCCTTCCTTCCAGGAACAGATAAAAGAGAGTATTCCCATCCCAACCCCTTCAACGACCTCTCGCCCTGTTTCCTCCTTGCTTGCGCACCGTTCCAGCTGCTCTTGCTGCTCACTACCAGAGGGATTACCCCCTCTCTCACCTCCCCCCCACCCGCTCACACACCTTCCGAGATTCCAGTTTGCCTTGCCCTGTATCCTCCCTGCTTGCCCTGCGTCCCAACTGCTCTTATTGCTCAGGACCAGAAGGATTACCCCTCTCTCTCACCTCCCCCGACCCACCCCACCCCACCCCACCCACCCTGTTGGCGATGCAATGCGCGTCGGATTGTGGTGCAATCAAGCGAAAGCGATTCGCGCGATGCACGATGTGTGCAGGGTTCTCCTGACCCTTCCACTCCCTGGCGACGACGTCACATTGTGCCCCACTTGGTGAATAAAGTACGCGACTCTGGACTGGAGAGAGCCAATGAGCGAATGCTTCACCAGGGTTATGGTTCCCGTCCCGAAGCATATGCTCCAACCAGGCGTCAGCTTATATCGCGAATGGCGCGGGATGGGATGGTGTAGATGTGGCTTTTCCCGTCACAACCACTTCGCAAAATAACAATATATTCAGTACAGGTTGCAATTATCAGCCCCCCACATCCACCTTTCTGTTTTTTGTGTTACCTTTCTTGTTGCCACCACCACTCCCAACAACACCATCAGTAAAGGCCACTTTATTTCCTACACCTAACCCAGGGTCAGATGATGCAACACTCTTTTTTGTCAATCCTGCACTGGTAGCACCACTTGTGTCTGTAGACCCACCCTCGCTTGTGCCGCTTCCTGAATCAGTAGACCCACCATCACCACCACCATCACCACCACCACCATCACCACCACCATCACCACCACCACCATCACCACCACCATCACCATCACCACCACCACCACCATCACCACCACCACCATCACCACCAGTGCCACCACCCTCCCCACCCCCACCCACTTTGCCGCCCACTTTCTGCGCCTCACTCGCCGCCCGAGCAGCCGCCTGCTGCCTCAGCACAGCCTCCTTGGCAGCTAGCTTTGCTACTGCCTTAGCCGCAACCAAAGCCCGCTTCACTCGCTCCACCTCGGTCTGCTTCTCCCACTTCAGCCCCAGCGCATCCGCAGCCTCTGCCCACTTCACCGCACTCAACCTCTCATCACCGGCGTCCACCGCTTCCCGTGCCGCCGCCTCCGCCGCACCCTGCGCTTCCCCGGCCTCCCTCGCCGCATCCTCCGCCTGACTCTTAGCTAAAACCAGCCGGTCCACCTCAGCATCCGCCTGTTGCTTAGCCTCCAGTGCTTTATCCGCCGCCGCTTGCTTCTCTGCTGCAGCAGCCGCGGCAGCACTGGCCTTTTCAGCCATCAGGGCTAGCCGCGCCGCAGCCACCCTCTCTCTAAACGTCCTCTTCTTCTCCTCCTTTTGCTCCTTAGCCGCGTCTCGTTCGGCCCGAGCCGCGTTCTTCCGGGCCGTCCCCCGCTTCTTCTTATCCTCTATCTCCGGTTTGCTCCTCTCTGCTTCATCCACAAGCTCCTGCCGCTTCTCCTCCACTGCATTAGCAGCCTCCCCAGCAGCTTCCTCCTTCCCATCTGCCTCCTCTCTCGCCTGGTCCGCTCTAGCCCGCGCAGCGTCTGCCTCTTTCTGCGCTTGCTTCGCCTCCTCCCGCCTCTTCTTCCCGCTCGCCCCACCCCTAGAAGTCTTGGCTTCTCTTGCCTTTTTGTCAGCCCGTGCTTGAGCTGCCTCTGCGTCTTTCTCCCTCTGCAGGGCAATCGCATTCTCCTTTTCAGCGTCGGCTTTCGCAGCCTCTGCTGCCTGAGCGGCCTTTTGATACTCCCTCTTTTTCTGCTCCAGGGGAGAGAGCTCCTTCTCAGGTGGAGGTGGGGGAGGGGGCGTCTCAGGCTCTTCTTCAGATTCACCTGAATCCCCGTCGTCTGAGCCATCTCCTCCACTCTCCCCACCTTCCCCTCCCTCCTCATCACCTCCTCCCTCATTCCCTTCCTCTCCGCTTCCCCCCTCTTCTCCGCTTCCCCCCTCTTCTCCGCTTCCCCCTTCCTCTCCGCTTCCCCCTTCCTCTCCGCTTCCCCCCTCCCCTCCACTCCCCCCTTCCTCTCCGCTTCCCCCATCACTCCCTCCCTCTCCCCCTTCCCCTGCTCCTCCTTCCGAAGGTTCCTGTGAACCTTCCCCTGACCCTGACGAATCACCTGGTGGAGCACCACCAGTGGTTTCATCTCCACCTGGATTGTCCACGTCAGCTGGCGGCGGAGGTGGTGCTACATCTCCTGGGAGTGACGTGTCTTCGTTCGCCGGCGGAAGTGGAGTTGCATCTCCGGTATTTTCGGTTCCATCTCCAGGAGTTTCATCTGCCGAAACGCTTCCGTCCGTTGATGCTGCTTCGCCAGTTTCAGTTTCATCACCTGGTGCTGCTGTATCAGAAGTTCCCGTTTCATCCGTTCCCGTATCATCTGTTCCCGAATCATCCGTTCCCGTAGCATCCGTTCCCGTATCATCCGTTCCCGTATCATCCGTTCCCGTATGAGAGATTCCCGTATCAGCCGTCCCCGAATCAGCCGTTCCCGAATCAGCCGTTCCCGAATCAGCCGTTCCCGTATCAGAGGTTCCCGTATCAGCCGTCCCCGAATCAGCCGTTCCCGAATCAGACGTTCCCGAATCAGCCGTTCCCGAATCAGCCGTTCCCGTATCATCCGTTCCCGAATCAGCTGTTCCCGAATCAGCCGTCCCCGAATCAGCCGTCCCCGAATCAGCCGTTCCCGAATCAGCCGTCCCCGAATCAGCCGTCCCCGAATCAGTCGTTCCCGAATCAGTCGTTCCCGCATCAGGTGTTCCCGTTTGAGGCGTTCCAGTAACAGGAGTCGTGTCACCCTCACTAGTGTCGCAACCCTCTTCGTCGCTCCCATCGTTACAGTCGCGCGTGCCGTCGCACATGCGACTCTCCTCGTAACACCGCAAGCCGTCGTCGCACTTGCTCCACCCGCTGGGGCACTCCCAGGTCGCGCAGAACGCGGAGTCCTCGTCGGAAGGCGCGTCCGCGTCGCTGCAGTTGGGCGCGCCGTCGCACACCTGCGTGTCGCTTATGCACTCGTCGGTCGTCGCGCACACGAACTGCGACGGAGGGCAGCGAGGGGGGGAAGCGGAGTTCGGATGGTTTCTTTTAGGCTTCGAACTCCTGCGTGTCACACATGAACTCGTCGGTTGTCGCGCGCAATAAATGTATTCGGAGCAGAGCAGAGCAGTGCAGAGCAGAGAAGAGCAGAGCACACGAACATTGGCATCAATAGCAACTCCCAGCATCCCGCAGCGGCGCAATACGCACCAGAGAATCGTCGTCAGGACATGCATCCAGCGCCGCAGCTCCAGTTACCAGCATCGCGATCATCGCAAGCGTCGCCAGCAGCGAGACTAACGCGAATGATCTCGCTAGCCGTGCACTTCTAAGCCCCATTTTGGCCCTAGACATGCTATTCATCCGTGCAGGGCTGCGCGCATTCTCGTGTGGCGTGGATCTTCGCGGTGATTGAATGCTACCCACTAAGCTAGGCCCTCGCGACCGCAACTAGTCCTGTTCGGACACGAATCGGAGTTCTGAAAACCAGAGCGAGTTAGCTAACGCGTTTGCTGGTTAGAATGTGGGAGTTGGGGAAAATGAGAGGGAGCGACGGGAGACGGGAAGAGCAACGGAGGGAAGAGGGAGCTGTTGCCCTGAGGTGGGGAAGGTGGGGCTTTCCCCGCTTGTAGCTGTCCTTGTGCTGGTTACAGTAGTGCATTCCGCGAAGCATTCTGGTGCAGTTACAGTACGATGACACCAGCTTAACTCACTGGAACGCACACAACCATGGAATGTGCTACACTTACCACTTTGCATCACATAAAAAATCGAGTGACCAGTTGGGCATTTCCTGGCACACGATGCGATTCGAGAAGTCATTGTTGAGTTGCAGCGGTGTTTGTCAACTCCGACCAGACAAGTCTTGGCTGGCTGGATGTGGTTGGAGGGGGGGTGGGTGTGGCGGCGATCGAATGGTTATGGCGAAAGCTGACAGCCCACGTTGGATCTTTTGACGAAACTCGCGACAGTGTTCATGCAGTAAAATTCTGCCTTCTGCGAATTGCTTTGGCAAGGGGGTAGACAGGTGCAGGTGAACAGCAGATAACCACGTCAGCAGGCACAGCTGAAGCAGGTGGATTGTATTTCAGGCGAAACGCAGGTGAATCTCAAGAATACGCTATACAGGCAACCTTATCCGCCAATGATTCTCCACAACAATTATCACATGAAAACTAAGTATAAACATTATTTTCAACGCGGAAATACTCGTATCCCATATCACATCGTTGCCATTGGATCAGTTGGTTTCGCACTACCGTCCCCGCCATTATCAGCCCCGAAATTCCCCGAACGGATTTCGAAGCGCCAATCGCTCGCAGCATACAAGGGCGTGCGGCGAACAATAACTACCTTTTAATCCGCTCTTATGGCGTGTGCGATCTCCGCGCATCCCGCAAACAATCTCTGCCCCCAAACCCCGAACCCTCATTCCTCGCTCTCGCAGCGCGAAGTAACTCCTTCTCGCCTCGTTTCGTTTCCCGCTCATTTGCACACCAATGCGCTTCGCCGACCGTTCTCACGGCGCGACTATTTCCCTTCCTCTGACTCCCGTTATCGAAGCATCCGCCTAGTCTCCCGCCACTCAAGCCAAGGATTCTCTTCCACAGGACTTAAGCAATCTATGGCGGCGGTGCGAGCGCAATCGGCGGCGGATTCTGTGGGGGTGGAGCGGCTAGAGATAACGCAGCCCGACGACTGGCACTTGCACGTGCGGGATGGCGCTGCGCTGAAATCCGTTGTGCCGTTCAGGTGAGAGCTCAGGTGAAATCTCAGGTAGAACTTCAGGTGCCAGGTGTCTGTCTTCGTCTTAGAGAATCGCATGCACAATGCATGCACACCATCCCCCTCCTCTCTCCCCCTCTTGTTCCCCCTCTTCCCTCCTGCTCCCCATTTCTTCCCCTCTCTCCCCCTTTCTCCACCCTTCCTCCACCCTTCCCACCCTTCCCCTCTTCCCCTCCTCTTCCCCTCTCCCCCACCTACCCCTCCTCCTCCCCCCTACCCCCTTCCCCGCAGCGCGGCCGTCTTCCACCGAGCGGTCATCATGCCCAACCTGCGCCCACCGGTCACCACCGCACTGGCAGCAGCAGAGTACCGCGAGCGGGTGCTGGCAGCGGTGCCAGAGGGGAGGCGAGGGGAGGAGGGCTTTAAGCCGCTCATGACGCTGTACCTTACAGATGACACCACAGCGGAAGAGGTGCAGAGAGCAAGTGAGTGTGAGAGGAAAGGAGAAGAATGGGAGGCGAGGGGAGCATGGCTTTAAGCCGCTGATGACGCTTCACCTCGCAGATGACACCACGCCGGAAGAGGTGCAGAGAGCGAACGAGTGTGCTGGGAGTGTGAGAGGAAAGGAGGAGTGGGAGGCGAGGGGAGGAGGGCTTTAAGCCGCTGATGACGCTCTATCTCACAGATGACACCACACCAGAGGAGGTGCAGAAAGCAAGTGAGTGTGCATTGGGAGCAGTGCGAGAGGAAAGGAGAAGAGAAGAGAGGGGAGGGGAGGCAGGTTTTAAGCCGCTCATGAAGCTCTCCATCTCACAGATGCCATGTCACCACCCCACACCACAACACACCACAGTGCACTCCCTTTGCTCCCGTTCTCTCCTCCCTCCCTCTGTCAACCCCCCATTGGGAGCACGGTAAGCACAGCTGAAGCCACGCCAACCTATCAACTCTAGCCGAATGACTCATCAACGCCAACTGCTTCACCTGCTCAACTTGAAGTGCTCCCCCACCCACCCCAACAGAGGACGGAGGCGTGGTGGTGGCGTTCAAGCTGTATCCTGCGGGAGCAAAGCAGTAACGCTGTGCTCCTTCCCTCTCTCCCCTGCTCAACCCCCCAACTCTGATTTTCCATCCAGAGGACGGAGGCCTACTGGTGGCGTTCAAGCTGTACCCCGCAGGAGCGACTACCAACTCAGCAGCGGGGTTGACCCGGCCATCACTGCTCCCGCTGACAATGCTCCCTCTCTCCCTTAATCCCTTCTATATCCTGCTCCATGCCTCAACAGAGGACGGGGGTCTAGTGGTGGCGTTCAAGCTGTACCCCGCGGGAGCCACAACCAACTCAGCAGCGGGGGTGACGGACCTATTTGGCCGCTGCTTCCCTGCGATAGAGCACATGGCGCACATTGGCATGCCGCTGCTGGTGAGTTGAGTGTGGGAGGGGGCAAGAAAGATTCCATTCACCGGGTAATCTCGCCTCTGCTGTTAGGGAAGCCAACAATCCAACCTTCCGTGTCCAACCCCCCTCCCTCCACTCCCAGCTGCATGGCGAGGTGGTGGACCGTGGACCCATGGTAGACATGTTCGATCGCAAGAAAGAGTTGATCCACCGTGAGAAAGCCATGGTCCTCTCGCCCCTGCTGGCCCCGCCTGCCCTCACATGCGGTCGTCTTACCCCCTCCCACCCTCTCCTTCCCCACTCACTCCCCCCGCCCCTCTGTCTCCCCCATTGATCTTCTCTTCTCAGCTGCACGGGGAGGTGGTGGATCCATCAGTCGACATGTTCGACCGCGAGAAGGAGTTCATCCACCGAGACCTCTCGCCTCTGCTTGCGCGCCTGCCCATACACCTTCCTTGACCCCTTCCATTCTCCTCCCCTTCACTCATTGCAGCTGCACGGGGAGGTGGTGGATCCATCAGTCGACATGTTCGACCGCGAGAAGGAGTTCATCCACTGAGACCTCTCGCCTCTGCTAGCGCGCCTGCCCATACACCTTCCTTGACCCCTTCCATTCTCCTCCCCTTCACTCATTGCAGCTGCATGGGGAGGTGGTGGATCCATCAGTCGACATGTTCGACCGCGAGAAGGAGTTCATCCACCGAGACCTCTCGCCTCTGCTTGCGCGCCTGCCCATACACCTTCCTTGACCCCTTCCATTCTCCTCCCCTTCACTCATTGCAGCTGCACGGGGAGGTGGTGGATCCATCAGTCGACATGTTCGACCGCGAGAAGGAGTTCATCCACCGAGTCCTCTCACCTCTCCTAGCCCGCCTACCCACCCTGCGAGTGGTCCTCGAGCACGTCACCACCGCAGATGCCCTCAACTTGCCCTCCCCCACCCTCTCCTTCCCCCCCCCCCACCCCTCCTTCTCTTTCGCCTCCCCTTAATTCTCTCAGCTCCACGGGGAGGTGGTGGACCCATCAGTGGACATGTTCGACCGCGAAAAGGAGTTCATCCATCAAGTTCTCTCGCCTCTCCTAGCCCGCCTGCCCTCCCTGCGAGTGGTTCTCGAGCACGTCACCACCGCAGATGCAGTCGAGTTTGTGTTGAAAGCACCTGAGGGGCGGGTGGCTGCTACAGTGACCCCGCAGCACCTGCTGTGGAACCGCAATGCGCTGTTCACGGGAGGCATCCGTCCCCACCACTTCTGCCTGCCTGTGCTCAAGCGAGAAACTCACCGTGAGTCCCGCTGTGCCCCTCTGGCAGAAGAGAAAATCACCTGAATGCATGTCCTCAGAGTGCGAAAGGGAGGGACACGCCGCAGCACCTGCTGTGGAACCGCAACGCACTGTTCACCGGGGGTATTCGCCCGCACCACTTCTGCCTGCCCGTGTTGAAATGAGAAACCCACCGTAAGTTTCAGTGCCATGAGAGGTACTGCTGTAGCACCTGCTGTGGAACCGCAACGCGCTGTTCACCGGGGGTATTCGCCCGCACCACTTCTGCTTGCCTGTGCTCAAGCGAGAGACACACCGTGAGTCTTTTGAGAAACACGCCGTGAGTTTCACCGCAAAGAGAGAGACACCCGCTGCACCTGCTGTGGAACCGCAATGCTCTGTTCACCGGGGGCATTCGGCCGCACCACTTCTGCCTGCCTGTGTTGAAGCGAGAAACACACCGTAAGTTTCACTGTGAGGAGAGAGACTGCCGCTGCACCTGCTGTGGAACCGCAACGCGCTGTTCACAGGGGGTATCCGCCCGCACCACTTCTGCTTGCCTGTGTTGAAGCGAGAAACACACCGTGAGTCTCGTTGTTTCATCAGAGGTGGTGAGGAAGATGAGACTCGCGTGCTGATAAAGAGAGACGAGCGATAACCACTAGTAAATATTTTGTTTCTCTTGTTTCTCCTCGAGTGCGTTCCTGCATCTGTGTTCTCCTCGTTCCTCATCCTTCCTCCTTCCTCCTTCTGCCTTCCCCATTATCAGGTCAGGCCATTGTCGCAGCAGTGACGGGCGGCAGCACTCGTTTCTTTCTCGGCACCGACAGCGCGCCTCACGAGCGCACCACTAAGGAGGCGCCATGTGGCTGCGCCGGGATATTCTCTGCCCACGCCGCCCTGCCCCTATACGCCCGAGCATTCGAGCAAGCAGGCGCACTGGACAAGCTAGAGGCATTCACCAGCTTCAACGGCCCTGATTTCTACGGCCTGCCTCGCAACTCCCGCCGCATCACTCTCATCCGCCAGCCGTGGGCCGTGCCTGACTCGTACCCGTATGGGGAAGGCAATGGATCTCTCGTGCCCATGCTGGCAGGCGAGCAGCTAGACTGGCAGGTGCTGCCTTTGGATCACTGAACGAAGCTTGAACAGGCGTCAATGACTCCCGCCGCATCACTCTCATCCGCCAGCCGTGGGCCGTGCCCGACTCGTACCCGTATGAGGATGGCAATGGCTCCCTCGTGCCCATGCTGGCAGGGGAGCAGCTGGAGTGACAGGTGCTACCGTTGAATAACTGGACCAGGCTTGAATAGGTGTCAAATTGTCAATAACCCCCGCTGCGTCATTCTCATCCGCCAGCTGTGGGCCGTGTCTGACTCGTATTCGTACGGGGAAGGTGGATCCCTCGTGCCCATGCTGGCAGGGGAGCAGCTAGAGTGGCAGGGGAGCAGCTAGAGCGGCAGGGGAGCAGCTAGAGAGGCAGAGCAGGTGCTGCCCTCTGACAACCGAACCAAGCATAAGTTCCGATCCGAACCAAGCCTAGATCAAGCTTGGCTCATTCTCACTGACCCTGCTTCGCCCCCTTGGGTCGCGCCCAATTAGCAGTGGGGATCCTAGGACCTGCCAGAGTTCCATGCTTGCAGGGGGGCAGCTGATGTGGCAGCTGAAGTGGCAGGTGTAGTGGCAGGTGCTGTCTATAGAGGTCCAATAATAACCTCGGATAAAGGTGTTTACTGTACTGTGATGTTTGATCCAGTTTGCCTGGTGGGAATCACAACAATAGAGCAGCGCAGTACACTTGACTCTTCATGAGGCTCGCATAGAGAGCTTACAATAAATAGGTACACTCTCACGGTCACCTCTTGCTCTGTTTGTTATAATGCTCGATAAGCTTTGCAACCTGCAAGTCATGCATCGGTTAGCTTTACGCGGCACGTGTGAGCTGAGCTATATGTTGCAACGTGCTCCTCCATGCATATAGTGCCACAAACCTCATGGCAGGGCAGTCTGTTATCTGGTGCTACTTCTGAGGCGCCACAACACTCTGTCTCCCTGCCCTGTCTGCTCCATGCCTTGCTGTAAGCACCACCGCCGATAACACGGCCCCATGACACGCCCCACCACACATCTATTTTTGAGTCGACTCAAAAACACGGCCCCATGACACGACCCACCACACATCCACTGGCCTCTGCCCGTTTGACCAATGACTCAGGAGTCAGTACCGCTATGCCCCCTGCCTGGCCCCATCCCACACTTATAATATCACGCCCCTGCCTGCCCCCCCATCACCCTGTGCCGTTTGATCAGCTGCAGTAAGAACACATTCCAAGAGACCACAGGCCCAGCTTCGAGGTGCCGCAAAAGGCCTCTATGCCACAGCCTGCCCCATGAACCAGTGTCCCTATGCCGCTATCTCCACCCCTGCCCGCCCCCGTGACTCTATGGCTCAGCGCTCCTGTGTCTCTACGCCCCGGCCTGCCCCATGACTCTCTGCCGTTTGATCAGCTGCAGCAGAAACACATTCGCCCGCACCACTTCTGCTTGCCTGTGTTGAAGCGGGAGACACACCGTAAGTTTCACTGTGAGGAGAGAGACTGCAGCAGCACCTGCTGTGGAACCGCAATGCGCTGTTCACCGGGGGCATTCGGCCGCACCACTTCTGCCTGCCTGTGCTCAAGCGAGAAACTCACCGTGAGTTTCCCTCTCCCAGTTCTGTCTGCCCGTTCACTTCATGCCCCAACACCTGAGGGGCGGGTGGCTGTTACAGTGACCCCGCAGCACCTGAGGGGCGGGTGGCAGCTACAGTGACCCCGCAGCACCTGAGGCGCGGGTGGCTGCTACAGTGACGCCGCAGCACCCACTGAGGAACCTCAGTGCTCTGTTTGCTGGAGGCATTCGGCCACACCCCTTCTGCCTTCCTGTGCTCATGAGAGAGAGACACACCGGAAGTTTCACCTGCTGCGAGGAGGGATTAGCATGGCATGCACACCAACGAGAGAGGAAAGAGAATCACAGGTGAAGCACACAAACACGGCCCTACATCTGTGTTCTCCCTTCTCAACCCTTCTCCCTCCTTCTCCCTCCTCCTCCCTCCTCCTTCCCTCTTACCAGGCCAAGCGATAGTGGAAGCAGTGACGGGCGGCAGCACTCGTTTCTTTCTCGGCACCGACAGCGCGCCTCACGAGCGGGCCACTAAGGAGGCGCCATGTAGCTGTGCCGGGATCTTCTCTGCGCACGCCGCCCTGCCTCTTTACGCCCGGGCATACGAGCAGGTGAGTGTGAGGTGTTACTGATGAGGTGTGACCAAGTGAGACCAGGTGTGACCATGTGTGACCAGGTGAGACCAGGTGTGACCAGGTGAGACCAGGTGAGACCAGGTGTGACCAGGTGAGACCAGGTGTGACCAGGTGTGACCAGGTGAGACCAGGTGCGACCAGGTGTGACCACGTGAGACCAGGTGAGACCAGGCGAGACCAAGTGAGACCAGGTGCGACCAGGTGTGACCAGGTGTGACCAGGTGTGACCAGGTGTTACCAGGTGTGACCAGGTGTGACCAGGTGAGACCAGGTGTGACCAAGTGAGACTAGGTGAGACCAGGTGGGACCAGGTCAGACCAGGTCAGACCAGGTGGGACCAGGTGGGACCAAGTGTGACCAAGTGTGACCAGGTGAGACCAGGTGAGACCAGGTGTGACCAGGTGTGACCAGGTGAGACCAGGTGGGACCAGGTGGGACCAGGTGTGACCAAGTGTGACCAGGTGTGACCAAGTGAGATTAGGTGTGACCAGGTGAGACCAGGTGAGACCAGGTGGGACCAGGTGGGACCAGGTGTGACCAAGTGTGACCAAGTGTGACCAGGTGAGACCAGGTGTGACCAGGTGTGACCAGGTGTGACCAGGTGAGACCAGGTGTGACCAGCTGTGACCAGGTGGGACCAGGTGAGACCAGGTGAGACCAGGTGCGACCAGGTGCGACCAGGTGTGACCAGGTGTGACCAGGTGTGACCAGGTGTGACCAGGTGTGACCAGGTGAGACCAGGTGCGACCAGGTGTGACCAAGTGTGACCAGGGGAGACCAGGCAAGACCAGGCGAGACCAGGTGTGACCAGGTGTGACCAGGTGTGACCAGGTGTGACCAGGTGTGACCAGGTGTGACCAAGTGTGACCAGGTGAGACCAGGTGTGACCAGGTGAGACCAGGTGAGACCAGGTGTGATTAGGTGAGACCAGGCGAGACCAGGTGGGACCAGGTGGGACCAAGTGTGACCAAGTGTGACAGGTGAGACCAGGTGAGACCAGGTGTGACCAGGTGTGACCAGGTGAGACCACCAGGTGAGACCAGGTGAGACCAGGTGTGACCAAGTGAGACCAGGTGAGAGACCAGGTGTGACCAGGTGAGACCAGGTGTGACCAGATGAGACCAGGTGTGACCAGGTTTGACCAGGTGTGACCAGTTGTGACCAGGTGTGTCCAGGTGAGACCACGTGGGACCAAGTGGGACCAAGTGTGACCAAGTGTGACCAGGTGTGACCAGGTGAGACCAGGTGTGACCAGGTGAGACCAGGTGAGACCAGGTGGGACCAGGTGGGACCAGGTGTGACCAAGTGTGACCAAGTGTGACCAGGTGAGACCAGGTGTGACCAGGTGGGACCAGGTGTGACCAGGTGTGACCAGGTGTGACCAGGTGAGACCAGGTGGGACCACGTGCGACCAGGTGAGACCAGTTGAGACCAGATGTGACCAGGTGAGACCAGGTGTGACCAGGTGAGACCAGGCGAGACCAGGGGAGACCAGGGGAGACCAGGTGTGACCAGGTGAGACCAGGTGAGACAAGGTGAGACCAGGTGTGACCAGGTGAGACCAGGTGCGACCAGGTGCGACCAGGTGCGACCAGGTGTGACCAGGTGTGACCAGGTGTGACCAGGTGTGACCAGGTGTGACCAGGTGAGACCAGGTGTGACCAGGTGTGACCAAGTGTGACCAGGGGAGACCAGGCAAGACCAGGCGAGACCAGGTGTGACCAGGTGTGACCAGGTGTGACCAGGTGTGACCAGGTGTGACCAAGTGTGACCAGGTGTGACCAGGTGACACCAGGTGTGACCAGGTGAGACCAGATGAGACCAGGTGTGATTAGGTGAGACCAGGCGAGACCAGGTGGGACCAGGTGGGACCAAGTGTGACCAAGTGTGACAGGTGAGACCAGGTGAGACCAGGTGTGACCAGGTGTGACCAGGTGAGACCACCAGGTGAGACCAGGTGAGACCAGGTGTGACCAGGTGAGACCAGGTGTGACCAGGTGAGACCAGGTGAGAGACCAGGTGTGACCAGGTGAGACCAGGTGTGACCAGATGAGACCAGGTGTGACCAGGTTAGACCAGGTGTGACCAGTTGTGACCAGGTGTGACCAGGTGAGACCAGGTGGGACCAGGTGGGACCAGGTGTGACCAAGTGTGACCAGGTGTGACCAGGTGAGACCAGGTGTGACCAGATGAGACCAGGTGAGACCAGGTGGGACCAGGTGGGACCAGGTGTGACCAAGTGTGACCAAGTGTGACCAGGTGAGACCAGGTGTGACCAGGTGGGACCAGGTGTGACCAGGTGTGACCAGGTGTGACCAGGTGAGACCAGGTGGGACCAGGTGCGACCAGGTGAGACCAGTTGAGACCAGGTGTGACCAGGTGAGACCAGGTGTGACCAGGTGAGACCAGGCGAGACCAGGGGAGACCAAGGGAGACCAGGTGTGACCAGGTGAGACCAGGTGAGACAAGGTGAGACCAGGTGTGACCAGGTGAGACCAGGTGTGACCAGGTGTGACCAGGTGTGACCAGATGAGACCAGGTGGGACCAGGTGTGACCAAGTGTGACCAAGTGTGACCAGGTGAGACCAGGTGTGACCAGGTGTGACCAGGTGTGACCAGGTGAGACCAGGTGTGACCAAGTGTGACCAGGTGGGACCTGGTGAGACCAGGTGAGACCAGGTGCGACCAGGTACGACCAGGTGTGACCAGGTGTGACCAGGTGTGACCAGGTGTGACCAGGTGTGACCAGGTGAGACCAGGTGAGACCAGGTGTGACCAAGTGTGACCAAGGGAGACCAGGCAAGACCAGGCGAGACTAGGTGTGACCAGGTGTGACCAGGTGTGACCAGGTGTGACCAGGTGTGACCAGGTGTGACCAGGTGAGACCAGGTGTGACCAGGTGAGACGAGGTGAGACCAGGTGTGATTAGGTGAGACCAGGCGAGACCAGGTGGGACCAGGTGGGACCAAGTGTGACCAGGGGAGACCAGGCAAGACCAGGCGAGACCAGGTGTGACCAGGTGTGACCAGGTGTGACCAGGTGTGACCAGGTGTGACCAGGTGTGACCAGGTGAGACCAGGTGTGACCAGGTGAGACCAGGTGAGACCAGGTGTGATTAGGTGAGACCAGGCGAGACCAGGTGGGACCAGGTGGGACCAAGTGTGACCAAGTGTGACAGGTGAGACCAGGTGAGACCAGGTGTGACCAGGTGTGACCAGGTGAGACCACCAGGTGAGACCAGGTGAGACCAGGTGTGACCAGGTGAGACCAGGTGAGAGACCAGGTGTGACCAGGTGAGACCAGGTGTGACCAGATAGACCAGGTGTGACCAGGTTAGACCAGGTGTGACCAGTTATGACCAGGTGTGACCAGGTGAGACCAGGTGGGACCAGGTGGGACCAGGTGTGACCAAGTGTGACCAGGTGTGACCAGGTGAGACCAGGTGTGACCAGGTGAGACCAGGTGAGACCAGGTGGGACCAGGTGGGACCAGGTGTGACCAAGTGTGACCAAGTGTGACCAGGTGAGACCAGGTGTGACCAGGTGGGACCAGATGTGACCAGGTGTGACCAGGTGTGACCAGGTGAGACCAGGTGGGACCAGGTGCGACCAGGTGAGACCAGGTGAGACCAGGTGTGACCAGGTGAGACCAGGTGTGATCAGGTGAGACCAGGCGAGACCAGGAGAGACCAGGGGAGACCAGGTGTGACCAGGTGAGACCAGGTGAGATAAGGTGAGACCAGGTGTGACCAGGTGAGACCAGGTGTGACCAGGTGTGACCAGGTGTGACCAGGTGTGACCAGATGAGACCAGGCAAGACGAGGGGAGACCAGGTGTGACCAGGTGTGACCAGGTGCGACCAGGTGTGACCAGGTGTTACCAAGTGTGACCAGGTGTGACCAGGTGAGACCAGGTGTGACCAAGTGAGACCAGGTGAGACCAGGTGTGACCAGGTGAGACCAGGTGAGACCAGGTGGGACGAGGTGGGACCAAGTGTGACCAGGTGTGACCACGTGTGACCAGGTGAGACCAGGTGTGACCAGGTGTGACCAGGTGTGACCAGCTATTACCAGGTGCGACCAGGTGCGACCAGGTGTGACCAGGTGTGACCAGGTGGGACCAGGTGGGACCAGGTGTGACCAAGTGTGACCAGGTGTGACCAGGTGAGATCAGGTGTGACCAGGTGAGACCAGGTGAGACCAGGTGGGACCAGGTGGGACCAGGTGTGACCAAGTGTGACCAAGTGTGACCAGGTGAGACCAGGTGTGACCAGGTGTGACCAGGTGTGACCAGGTGAGACCAGGTGTGATCAGGTGTGACCAGGTGGGACCAGGTGAGACCAGGTGAGACCAGATGCGACCAGGTGCGACCAGGTGTGACCAAGTGTGACCAGGTGTGACCAGGTGTGACCAGGTGTGACCAGGTGAGACCAGGTGTGACCAGGTGTGACCAAGTGTGACCAGGTGAGACCAGGTGTGACCAAGTGGGACCAGGTGTGACCAGGTGTGACCAGGTGTGACCAGGTGAGACCAGGTGGGACCAGGTGCGACCAGGTGAGACCAGGTGAGACCAGGTGTGACCAGGTGAGACCAGGTGTGACCAGGTGAGACCAGGCGAGACCAGGGGAGACCAGGGGAGACCAGGTGTGACCACGTGAGACCAGGTGAGATAAGGTGAGACCAGGTGTGACGAGGTGAGACCAGGTGTGACCAGGTGCGACCAGGTGAGACCAGGTGTGACCAGGTGTGACCAGGTGTGACCAGGTGAGACCAGGTGGGACCAGGTGCGACCAGGTGAGACCAGGTGAGACCAGGTGTGACCAGGTGAGACCAGGTGTGACCAGGTGAGACCAGGCGAGACCAGGGGAGACCAGGGGAGACCAGGTGTGACCAGGTGAGACCAGGTGAGATAAGGTGAGACCAGATGTGACGAGGTGAGACCAGGTGTGACCAGGTGTGACCAGATGAGACCAGGCAAGACGAGGGGAGACCAGGTGTG